CATCAATTTAGAAAAAGCAGTGCTTATTTTGATAAGATTCATAACAATGTTTTATATGTTCCAACTTAATGGACATGTTCTGCTTTCTATTTAACCCAGGAATTAGTTTCATGTAAACTGTTAGCCTTTTAGTTTTATCACCCACTGAGTATGCCAACCCAAGCAAATGAGGGCTAATAGCCTAGTAAATGTTCTATGGATTTGAGGGTAGACTTGAACACTGCAGTAAATCCTGAAAAAACCAGACACAAAGCCCAAATAGAACAAAGGAGATCATTAGCACAATCTGTGTCTCCCGAAGGAGGAGCGGGGTCTTGCAAGGACCTAGCCAGCTGCAAAGGGCAAAGAGGTTCTCGGACAAGAAGCGGGAATGTGGTCTGGGATAATCAGAATGACAACTACCATTTTTGAGTACCTACTTTGTGCCAGGCATTGTGTTAAGTGCTTTATAGTGGAGATAAACTGCACCAGTCAGTGGAAACGCAATCTCAAAAGTAGCAGTAATATTCACCTAAAGAAAGTCATCATAAATTTGTTTTCAGTTTTTGTCTTGAGGTGGAAAATTGATTTTATGTTGTTATAGAGCAAAGAAAACTATGACCTATGTTTAGCTGATTTTCAAGGCTGATTTTATGTTCTGTTTGATTTTATGTTCAAATCAAATGTTTTACCCTCTGTGATGTTAAAATGTTTTACCCTCTGTGGGATGTTAAGATATCTTGTTAGGATATTAAGGAAATCATACTTAAAATACTAAATCATATTTTAATATGGGGTATGCATGAAGCCAACACTTCTCCCATTAATTCGATCACTCATTCATTCAACAAATATTTGTTGCAATAACCCCTCTGTGGAGGTAGTGTTCTAGGTGTTGGAGATACTGTGGAGAACAAAACACATAGTCCCTACCCTCAGAGAGCTTACAGTCTAGGGGAGGAGGCAGACACTAAGCAAATAATCACACCAATATTTAGCACAGCAGGTGAGAATCTCAATTCAGAAACTTGGGTGTCCAAGAAATGTATATTCTATAATTCAGTTTCTAGCCCTAAGTCTTCATTCCACCCTGCTGGCAGAAACAAACGATATACACACAAAGTTAGTAACAGTCTCTCTCAGATTTGGCTTCCTTCCCTTTCCCAGGATGTAATTCTAGCATTTTACTCTCTGACAAGGCCCTTCTATCATCAAATTGTTGCTTTTTAGTAGATCATTAATCATCCTCAGCTGCCTGGCTTTTTTGGTTCCAGTGGTCTTTGCTGCTTCTACACATCACTCATTACATGGAGAATGGTTTTTCTGAGGCTGACTGTGTTCCTTCCTATATAGGCCTTTCTGCTTCCCGAAGAATGTTATTTAGAAGCAGGTCATAGGTCCCCTCGCTCTATGGATTCATTAGGACTCTCTCTTTTCCCCATTCCCCACCTCTTCTAGCCCCATAGAAACTTCACATTTTCCTTCATGTTTAAGATACTTGGAGTAAATTTAGACTGGCTGGGGGGCAGGTCCTGTAGGAGGGAGCTCAGAAAGGGCTCTCTTGAGAAGATGAGATATGAACTGAGATCTGAAGGGGGGGGAGTGAAGAGTTAACATGTTGAAGGGGAGTGAGGGATGGGAAGGAGCGTGTTCCTAACCAAAGGGATACATGTGGCAAGGTCTGATGGCAGGAGAAAACTGAAAAACTAAGTTATAAGCATTATCATTTAGGGACAAAGCCTAATTATAGAAGAATATACACTGTTGTGCTTTGTTTATAAGACCTCAACAAACTATATAGACATTAACCATTTACTTCACAATAGTGAAAAATGTTTAAGAACTTCTCAAAGCCTTGGGCTTGAGTTTAAGCCTGACCAGTTACCAGATGTATGGTTTTTGGTAAGTTACATCACCTATTTAAGCCTTAATTATATTACCTGGAAAATAGAGATTATAATAATATTACAACTACTTTCCCTATCTGTCTCATAGGACTGCTGAAGGGTATAATGAGATAATGTATGTGAAAGTGTCCTACAAACTGTAAAGGACTTTAACATGTACATTATTACAAGTGTGTTGTTGATGACTAAATCTATTCACAGTACAATTCAACATTTTCTTTTAGGGAGACTTACTGAGACAAAATGACAAATACTAAGTGTCCAACTTCTCATTTGTAATTGTATGTAATTACATAGAAGTGAACCAAATGAACAAACTATGATACACAATTATATCATGAATACAATATTCCTTCCCTACAACAGTTGCAAGAGCAGCTAACAACTTACTCACAGACAACAATAATGTAAGTTCTATATGAGAGATGCCTGGTAGAGAATAACCAAATAAAGCAAAGAATACCCAGCACAAAATAGGAGTCTAAAGTCGGGTCAGTCCCTACTCCTTCTTTAGGCCCCTAATTAGTCCATTAGGGGTGTACGTGTGTGTGTGTGTGTGTGTGTTTGAAGGATAAAATGAGATGGCTAACTGCTAAGCAGAACTCTCATTCAATTCTTTTTTTTTTTTTAAAGATTTTATTTATTTATTTGAGAGAGAGAGAGCATGAGAGAGGGGAGATCAGAGGGAGAAGCAGACTCCCCGCCGAGCAGGAAGCCCGATGTGGGACTCGATCCTGGGACTCCAGGATCATGACCTGAGCCGAAGGCAGTTGCCCAACCAACTGAGCCACCCAGCCGCCCCTCTCATTCAATTCTTAAAATTCTATCATTGGGGAAATGCATATTAAACATATTAAAACAACAACATACTACTACACATCTATTAGAATAGCCAAAATTTGGAATACTGACAATACCAAAGCAGGTAAGGATATGGAAAAATAGAGCTCTCATACATTGATGGAGGGAATGAAAAATTGTGTACAGCCACTTTGGAAGATAATTTGGGGTTTTTATCTTTTTGCAAAACAACATACTATACAATCCAATAATCATGCTTCTCAGTATTAACCAAAGGAGTTGAAAACGTATGCCCACACAAAATCCTGCACACAGATGTTTATAGCAACTTTATTTATAATTGCCAAAATTTGGAAACAACCAAGATGTCCTTCAGTAGGTGAATGATAAACTGTGGTATATCCAGACAATGGAATATCATTCAGCAATAAAAAGGAATGAGCTATAAAGCCATGAACAGACATGGAAGAACCTTAAATTCATATTACTAAGTGAAAGGAGCCAATCTGAAAAGGCTATATACACTATGATTCCAATTATAAGACATTCTGGAAAAGATAAGACCATTGAGACAGTAAAAGATCTGTGATTGCTGGACTGGGGAGTGAAGGAAAGAATAGAGCACAGAGGATTTTTAGGGCAGTGAAAATGCTCTATATAATATTATAATTTGGATATAGGTTATTATACATTTGTCCAAACCCATAGAATATACAACACTAAGGGTGAACCATTACGTAAACTATGGACTTCGGGTAGTTAGGATGTGTCAATGCAGGCTCATTGATTGTAACAAATGTACCCCTTTGGTGAGTGTTTTTGATAATGGGAGAGGCTATGCATTGGTGGGGCAAGGAGTATATGGGAAATCTCTTATACCTTTTTTTGATTTTGTTATAAACCTAAAAGAGCCAAAAAATCCTAAATTTTTAAAAGTATTTTATTGGAAATAGAGTTTACTAGTGAGAATCCAAAGTCAGCCCAGAAAGCCAGAAAAATAATTCCTTCTGTAACACCAAGGTGAAAGATCGTAAAATAAAAACTGATGCTAATCTAAAAGCATGGGAGAGCCTATAAGATCAGGAGTGAGAAGGATAAAATGGAATAGGTCCAGTGCTTCAGGATCAGTTGCCCAGGGTCTAAGAATAATAAAATAGTTTTATTTTTCATTTAGGTTTGATGAGCAGTGACGGTAGAATATGTGAAAATTTTTGAAAGTCAAAAATACATAATAAAAAGAAACATTTTTTCAATTAAATCAAGTTTTTATTTTGTTACACAGAGTGTTATGGAAAGTCCAACCTTTCAGAAAGACAAAGAGATAAACCACAATGATTTATATCAGCAGAAAATTTATAATTCTTATTACCTGATCTAAGCTCTCAATCCACCTGAGACTCACCTTACTTTTGTTTAAAGGATGACTCCAAAGAAAAGGAGACTGTGAAGAAGTGGACACTTACAAAAGGCAGTTTCTACTGTTGCACAGATTCCATTCTTAGTTTTACACATACTTTTTTTCCAGAGAGTTTAGTGAGTTTCAAATACCTTATCCTCTCCTCTCCACTTAGAATGCTTTACAAAACAGGTCATACTGTCCTATGGCTTCAGTTAACAAAACGCAGGACTTGTTCTAACAAACAGCATGGGATAGGCTATTAGCAATCTGTTTGGGGGAGTTGCTACCTCCCACTCCTCCTGTATCCACAAGCTAGCTCTAGAACCCTTCATAAGATAACATCCTGATGCCAACTATAGAGCAAGGACTTTCTATTTTCTCTCTGGGCCCACTCAAGTCGGGGCTTAAAACCCAGAGCAGGTTTCGGGCATGCAGAGGACGGTGCTCCCATGTGTCCCAGACTAACTCTTCTCACTGAATTGGGAGTGTGATGCCTGGTGGCTAAACAACGCAATTTCAACATTTTCTGTCACGTCTTTTGCTTGTCAAATAGTCTAATAAAGTTTCATAGCTTCAGCTCTCAAATCTAAGAGGATAAAATTCTGATTTAAAGTTGGGTGTGAGAATCCAATATTCTCATAACACTAACACATGCATAATTCATAAACTCTGGAAGATAGATCTTGGAAAGCAGAAGATTTAAAAGTCTATGGAACTTCATCTTGTAAAGATTTTTGGTCTAAGTAATTCTAATAATTTCCAAGCTTTGCTTCTAATGGAATAATAATTTTCTAACCTATTTGGATATTTCATAAGTACACATATGTAGTTATATGTACTTGAAATATGACTAAAAATATTAAGAAAATCCCAACAGAACTCTTATAATTAGCCTAGATCTCAAACTAATCACATATCTCTGAAATAAAAGTTTATTAAATTTGTTAAGTTAAAATAGAGGTTATACATCAAATATCATTTTCTAACATCAAAATCCCAGCTTACTGCATACAAATTGGATTACTGGACATTAAATACTGTTTCTTTTTCTTTAAACATCAACAAGAGAAAATATTAGTAATGATGAATTATCCTTGTTGGTTTGACTTGGGTCCAAGCAAAGTATCTATTATATCTCCCTGAAAAGAAAAAGTCAAACAATTACAATGCAATAAAATATAAATTAAGAGGTAAAGGAGCCTTTAAAATGCCATTTAAAATTTATAAATTAGTGATACATATAAAGGGCATCCAATAAGATTGTAAAAAGTAAACAAACCAAAGTAAATTTAAATAGTAACAGTTACTTCCTAGTATAAGCCTGCTTTTTCCTATGAAAGACTCTTTTAATGGAGTTTGATAAACAATTTTATAAGGATTCTGTTAAGGGATCTTTTTTTTTTTAAGATTTTTATTTATTTATTTGACAGAGAGAGACACAGCGAGAGAGGGAACACAAGTAGGGGGAGTGGGAGAGGGAGAAGCAGGCTCCCCGCTGAGCAGGGAGCCCGATGCAGGGCTCGATCCTAGGACCCTGGGATCATGACCTGAGCCGAAGGCAGACGCTTAACGACTGAGCCACCCAGGCGCCCCAAGGGATCATTTTTTTGAATTAATTTTATTTTAGTATGATATGTTAGTCACCATACATTACATCATTAGTATTTGATGTAGTGTTTCAGATTCATTGTTTGCGTATAACACCCAGTGCTCCATGCAATACGTGCCCTCCTTAATACCCATCACTGGGCTAACCCATCCCCCCACCCCCTTCCCCTCTAAAACCCTCAGGTTGTTTCTCAGAGTCCATAGTCTCTCATGGTTCATCTCCCCTTCCGATTTCCCCCCTTTCATTTTTCCCTTCCTACTATCTTCTTCCTCTTTTTTTAACCATATAATGTATTACTTGTTTCAGAGGTACAGGTCTGTGATTCATCAGTCTTACACAATACACAGCGCTCACCATAGCACATACCCTCCCCAATGTCCATCACCCGGCCACCCATCCCTCCCACCCCCCACCACTCCAGCAACCCTCAGTTTGTTTTCCTGAGATTAAGAGTCTCTTATGGTTTGTCTCCCTCTCTGGTTTCATCTTGTTTCATTTTTTCCTCCCTTCCCCTATGATCCTCTGTATTGTTTCTCAAATTCCTCATATCAGTGAGATCATATGATACTTGTCTTTCTATGATTGACTTATTTCACTTAGCATAATACCCTCTAGTTCCATCCACGTCGGGGTTTTTTGATGGCTGCAAATAGCAAGATTTCGGGGGTTTTTGATGGCTGCATAATATTCCATTGTATATATATACCACATCTTCTTTATCCATTCATCTGTTGATGGACATCTAGGCTCTTTCCATAGTTTGGCTATTGTAGACACTGCTGCTATAAACATTGGGGTACAGGTGCCCCTTCAGATCACTACATTTGTATCTTTGGGGTAAATACCCAGTAGTGCAATTGCTGGGTTTGTACAATAGCTCTATTTTCAACTTTTTGAGGAACCTCCATAATGTTTTCCAGGGTGGCTGCACCAGCTTGTAGTCCCACCAACAGTGTAAGAGGGTTCCCCTTTCTCCGCATCCTCGCCAACATCTGCTGTTTCCTGACTTGTTAATTTTAGCCATTCTGACTGGTGTGAGGTGGTATCTCATTGAGGTTTTGATTTGTATTTCTCTGATGCTGAGGGATGTTGAGCACTTTTTCATGTGTCTGTTGGCCATTTGGATGTTGTTAAGGGATCATTTTGACAGCTCCTGTTTAGCCTTAATATCTAAACCTCAGTTTTCTCATCTGTAAAATAGCTTGTGATATTAATGGTATCTTAAACTCTTTCCTGACCTACGGTGCTTGATTTAGAGAGAGTTAAATATCTGAATTTCAGTATTTTATGTTTAATTTAATAATAATGATCTTTGTACCAAAGGGGTAAAATAATAATCTGTAAGAGGATGAAACCAAAGATGGAAGATGAGTTTTTAAGAAAGATACTGTGAAAAGATGGAATCGGAAGCAGAAGACCAGAGTTTTCTCTACTACACAGTGAAGGTGATCTTAAGAAAATCACTGATATCTGGGAATCTTAGTTTCCTTGAACGTATAATAGAAATATTAACAACCACTTCTAAAAATTATTATAAGAGTTGAATGAACTAATGTATGTAAAAGTGTTTTACAAACTCTGAAGAGTTATAAACACCTGAGATGGTATTACATAAGTCAGTCCTGTCTTTTAGCCTCTACTAAGGATGACATTCCCCATCCTTCAAGTCTTGACACAAAATCAGTTGCCAAGCTTCTTCTCAAACCCATCTCTTTCTAGTTCAGTCTCTCACTTGGACTAACACAGATCACTACTGTAATCTGTTCACTATTGTATCCTTAGCACCTAAAACAGACCCTGTCACATAGTACATACTCAGTAGATATCTGTTGAATGAATGAACTGTCTATACATAAATACCCAAACTACAGAGAAAAAGATGGCAAACATTTATATACTGAAACAGAAGAATAGAAATAGTATCCAGGAGTGATTCTCCACAGGCTACCTCCAGAAAAAAAAGTTGCTTTGTGCAATGCCCCATTGAAATTAGCTTCTGCCAAGTACTTAAACTATAATTCTGTTCAATGCAAGACTTAGACCCAGCAACCAACCACAACCCACCAGAAGAGGAGGTGGTGCTTCAACAAACAATAATGCTAATGTGGTGGTAAATCCTGTTGACAACTAGCTACATCACCAAGTTATCACTGCAAAGCTTGGACCCTATACTCCTGATCATGCCAGGCATCAGGCTGATGTTACCCCTAGCCACAAACCCTGAGTTGGTAGGACAGGAGTGTTCTACTATGTCATATCACAAAAATATTCTGGTCCTTGAACACATCAGGGAGGTGCCAGAGTTTCAGAAATCATTTTGCTTAAAACATCCATAGCCCAAGGATCAAGGCTCTTCTCCAGCAGTGCAAGGCCACAGAGGATGATGGGCAATGTAGAGACAAGAGGGAGTCATGGTCCTATACCTATACCATGGTCCTTGATATACCTCAATGGGTTTCCACCAATGGACCCTGATCCGCACACCTGGTGCATGTGTTATCTGGTACTTTGCCCTTATAAAACCAGTATTCCTGTGGATATTCCCTTTGTACCCATCCTTAATCCTGTTCTTCCCTCATCCCTCCCTTCCCAGAGGCAGCCTTTATTATAAATTTGGTGTACATTTTTCCTATAGAATGAAAACATAAGCCTTCCAAAATTTTGATTTGGTTAAAATTAATGGAGAAATTATAGGACACAATGTTACTTGATAAGATACCTTGATAGGAAATAATGGTTTGACATTAATTACTTTAAAACTTCAAATTACTATTTGATTATAATTCTCTGAAAAGTTCAGAGTTGTATCAGGTAAACTTGTGTTTGGCTGTAAGTAATACAAAATCTGATTAATAGGTTTTTGTTGAATCTCCCTGAAAAATAACTCTGAACCTTTAAAATATAATGACCGAAAGCATGAAAAACATATTTGTATCAGGAAACTGCATTTATTATTAATGTATGGGATATATTTGTTACAAGGAAATTTTGCTTACCAGCATTAAAATCATTAACATACATACAACACACATATACACACACACACATTTTTTTTTAAAGATTTTATTTATTTGAGAGAGAGAATGAGAGAGAGAGAGCACATGAGAGGGGGGAGGGTCAGAGGGAGGAGCAGACTCCCCGCTGAGCAGGGAGCCCAGTGCGGGACTCGATCCCGGGACTCCAGGATCATGACCTGAGCCGAAGGCAGTCGCCCAACCAACTGAGCCACCCAGGCGCCCCCCCACACACACATTTGTCAAAAATGTCCAGACTCTCAGCTTAGCCTTCTGCTCTCAGAGCACATTGCTTAAAATAAAAGATGTTTCTAATGTGTATATATATAACACATGTTTATCCATCCAACAGTCGATGGACATTAGGGCTGTTTCCATAATTTGGCTATTGTAGGTAATGCTGCTATAAACCTCTGGGTGCATGTATTCCTTTGAATTAGTGTTTCTGTATTCTTTGGGCATACATCTAGTAGTGCAATTGCCAGATCGTAGGGTACTTCTATTTTTAACTTTTTGAGGAGCCTCCATACTATTTTCCAGAGTTGCACCAGTTTGCATTACAAAGAATGAAATCTTGCCATTTGCAATGATATGGATGGAGCTAGAGAGTATTATGCTAAGCAAAATAAGTCAGTCAGAGAAAGACAAATACCATATGATTTCACTCGTGTGAAATTTAAGAAACAAAACAAATGAGCATAGGGAAAAAAAGAGAGAGAGAGGCAATCCAAGAAACAAACTCTTAATTATAGAGAACAATGGTTACTAGAGGGGAGGTGGGTGGGGGTGATGGGATGGGTTAAATGCGTGATGGGATTTAAGGCATGTATTTGTGATGAGCACCAGGTCATGTATGGAAGTGTTGAATCACTAAATTCTACACCTGAAACTAATATTACACTGTATGTTAACTAACTGGAATTTAAATACAAACTTTAAGGTAGTTAGGAAAATCTCCTTAAATGTCCACAGTCAAGGGCATCTGGGTGGCTCAGTTGGTTAAGCGACTGCCTTCGGCTCAGGTCATGATCCTGGAGTCCCGGGATCAAGTCCCGCATGGAGCTCCCTGCTCGGCAGGGAGTCTGCTTCTCCCTCTGACCCTCCTCCCTCTCATGCTCTCTGTCTCTCATTCTCTCTGTCTCAAATAAATAAATAAAATCTTTAAAAAAAAAAAAAAATGTCCACAGTCAATATGCATGTCAGCCAGTTAAGAAAATACTCTCCAAAACTATTTGGAATGCTTCATTTGTTTCTTAATTGGGAAAACCTATTTTTACCCTGAGAAGAATAATAATTGTATATAGAAAATATGCAGCAAATCAAGCAGATAATTTTAATATTTTTTGTATTAAGAAACTTGTATATATTTGGCATTTTAAATATTCATTATTTATAAGAGAATTTGCCATTATTAGATTGTATCGCAAATAAATTTGTGATTCTAATTTAAATGTGTAATTGGGTAATTGATTTAGACTTGTGATTGTAGATTGAAATATTATTAATTTGTAAAAAGCACTGGCACATTTAAGAAAATTTAAGATTCATCATATTCAACACTTACTTTATTTTTTTTATCTTTTTTTATTATGTTATGTTAATCACCATACATTACATCATTAGTTTTTGATGTAGTGTTCCATGATTCATTGTTTGTGTATAACACCGAGTGCTCCATTCAGTACGTGCCCTCTTTAATACCCATCACCAAGCTAACCTCTCCCTCCACCCCCCTCCCCTCTAGAACCCTCAGTTTGTTTTTCAGAGTCCATAGCCTCTCATGGTTTGTCTCCCCCTCCGATTTCCCCCCCCTTCATTTTTTCCTTCCTGCTATCTTCTTCTTCTTTTTAACATATAATGTATTATTTGTTTCAGAGGTACAGGTCTGTGATTCAACAGTCTTAAACAATTCACAACGCTCACCATAGCACATACCCTCCCCAATGTCTATTACCCAGAAAACTTCCAAACTCGTATTATGAAGCCACCATTACCTTGATCCCAAAACCAGACAAAGACCCCATCAAAAAGGAGAATTACAGGGGCGCCTGGGTGGCTCAGTTGGTTAAGCAACTGCCTTCGGCTCAGGTCATGATCCTGGAGTCCCGGGATCGAGTCCCGCATCAGGCTCCCTGCTCAGCGGGGAGTCTGCTCCTCCCTCTGACCCTCCCCCCTCTCATGTTCTCTCTCTCTCATTCTCTCTCTCAAATAAATAAAATCTTTAAAAAAAAAAAAGGAGAATTACAGACCAATATCCTTGATGAACATGGTTGCATATTCAACATTTAAAATTTATTAAATTAACAAGAATTCCTTAAGTATCAGATTTGCTTGCCCATAAGACAATTGAAGTACTTAAAAATCTATATTAAATTTATAAATTAAACTTAAAGGATTTAAAGGAACTTAATTGTTGCAAAAGCTTATTAAAAGTATGTATTAAAATTTGTTGGACTTATAAACAGAATAATAAAATATATTATCTAAATGTAAGAGCTTAAGATGAACTAAGATTTTAAAAATTTTATAAAATATTTGAATGTGAACATTTTAAGCAAAAGTAGACTGAGTAATCATCTCCATGTACAAAAGAAATATTAAAGACAAAGGAAAAAAGAAAGGAAAAAAAAACCTCACATTACTAACTTATACATGTCTCCTTTTTTTTTTTTTTAAGATTTTTTATTTATTTACTTGAGAGAGAGAATGAGATAGAGAGAGCATGAGAGGGGGGAGGGTCAGAGGGAGAAGCAGACTCCCCACTGAGCAGGGAGCCCCACGTGGGACTCGATCCTGGGACTCCAGGATCATGACCTGAGCCGAAGGCAGTCGCTTAACCAACTGAGCCACCCAGGCACCCTATACGTGTCTCCTAATACATATGTGCAAGACATTGTATGGTATTTGAATTTTCACTTTTATTGAATTGCTCTGCAAAGAGGCTATGTTCTCTCTCTCTCAAATAAATAAATAAATCTTTAAAAGATAAAAGATAAAATAAAAAATTTAAAAACCGAAAAGTTGAAAAGCCCAATAAAAATAATGGGCATCTAGTGATACTGATGGCTTGTCAAAGTTTTACAACAAAGTTTTCATATTTGAAGATCAGCGTAAGGGAACAGGATAACACTACAGAAACAAAAAAAACAAATGCCTATTTCGGGAACATTGGATAATATCTAAAATATTATCATTTCTTGTAAAAGTCTTTGAATATTTGCAGTAAACTTCTTCAGCTATATACTAGGCACAACTTAAAGTTATCTCATGTAACACTTATAGTTATTATGCTACAACATTGTTGTTTTCACTTTACAGAGAAAAAACACGAGGCTCGAAGAAAATAAGCCTAGTAGACACCCTGCTTAGTAGGAAGCAACTCTTGAGACTTACGGTCTTCCTTTTGCACTACACTTAAGATATTTAAGAAATGTAAATTCCTTGTATGACACAAAATTGCATAAAATTACATAGAATAACATAAACTTTTGACTTTTGAGTCTTACCCGGCCAGAATCCAAAGCAGAGGGCATATTTCTTAGCTCATACACAGCAACCTGTCCATCACTGTCACCCACTAGAAGGCAATCTGTTTGTTTGGCAAAGAGAACAGTTGTGAACTTGATTCCAGGGTTAGCAACATTCACAATGAGAGGATCCAAACTGTAATAAAACACTTTCTTTGTAAATTCAGTTGTTGTTATTACATTCTTTTTGTATACAGATTAAGAAAATTCAGATATTTTCTGTGATTTCATGTGGCAAAAACAAAACAAAATAAGCTTCTTAAGTTTCCAAAATCAAAATAATGGCTTCTCAACTCCTTAATCAATCAAACTTTCATTTCCTCAGTGAACTAATTTCAAATAAATAAATTCAGGAAGTTCACAATTAAGATGTGCACTCATAAGTTTAAGCTCCTGTGCTGGTTAACTTTATGTATTAACTTGGCTAGGCTATGGTACTCAGTTGTTTGGACAACACCCCTCTACACTTTGCTGTGCGGGTGCTTTGTTTAGATGAATTAACATTTAGGGCAGTAGAATTTGAATAAAGCAGCTTACCCTTATCCTCCATAATGTTGGCAGACCTTATTCAATTTGATGAAGACCTTAAGAGAAAAGACTGAGGTCCCTGAAGTGGAATAAAACTGCCTCCAGTCTGCTTCAGACTCCTGACTGCAGCATGGACTCTGATGGAAATTCTAGCCGGCCAGCCTGTAGCGCAGACTTGGCACTTGCCAGGCCTCAGAGTCATGTGAGCCAATTCCTTAAAATAAATCTCTTTCTCTCTTCTTATTGCTTCTGTGTCTCTGGAGAACCCTGACTAATACAACTTCCTTAGTAGTAATACCTTTTAATAGAAGGATATTTTGATCCAAATGAACCTCTGGAACGTAAAAGAATACTTTGAACAAGAACTTTTTCTATTCCCCATCGTCCAAAGCAATCTACTGATGCCCCATAAAACAACAGAAGCAGTGACTTGCATACTTCTGAAGAAATGTCCTGAGAACCACAGTTCTACCAAGAAAATTAAAATCAGAAGTGGGATGAGTTAAGTAATCATTTTATACATTAGTCATCTCATACTCAAACATAACTTGCTTTGTGATATAATCCTTGGTTTGGGGTTCAAACTGTTTTATAGTATAAGCCATGACAAAATTTTAAAGTTACCAAATTATTAACTTCTAGGGAAAAAATGCCATTAAAAATAAACCCATTGAATTTTCTGTCATTTATTTTAAGCAAGAATGTATTTCCCTGATTCTTCTGCTAATAACTAGCATAAAAATCTACAGTATTTTCCAACTGAAGGAGTAAAATCATTCAACACTTTATTCCTGTACTATACAAATTTCCATTTTAAAATGAAAGATGAGTCTAGAGGACACTCTAATAACTTTGGTGTAACACTTTAAATTAAAAATTTTAATTAAATGCATGGCCCTGGGTGCCTGGGTGGCTCAGTTGGTTAAGCATCTGCCTTCGGCTCAGGTCACAATCCGGAGTCTCTGGATCAGGCCTGCATGGAGGTTCCCTGCTCAGCAGAGAGTCTGGTTCTCCCTCTGCCCTTCACACTGCTTGTGCTCTCTCTCTCTCACTCTCTCTCTCTCTCAATAAATAAATAAATATATCTTAAAAAAAATAAAAATAAATGCATGGCCTTTTGAATATGTTTTAAAACAAGGTAAGAGAATACGTAAATATTGTAAAAAATAATTATTTTGTTCCCTTTATCTTATTGCAGAAAATCTTCAGTTAAAAACAAACAAGTTCCTCTCTCCATTCCTCTATAAAGTAGGCAATGAAAATTCAAGGTAGCTATCATAACTCATATCAGCCTGTAAAAGTTTGAGATGGATAAGATGACCTACTTTCATTTAAATATTTTTAAAAACACATATGGTCTAAGTAGCTAAAATGAATATAGCATCCTGGCATATATCTTTTACTCGTAGAGGACTCTCACAGTGTAAACTATTACTTGTTTTAAAGTAACTACAATTCCCTCTAACCAATACCAAATCTATCAGGTATCATTTAGTTTAAACTGCTTTTATGAGAAGTATCACCAAGAAAAACATTAACACTTACGTGCTGACATGAAGGTCCCAAATCTCCACTCTGCTCTCATTTGCAGCTGCAAATATATAGGAGGATTTTGGAGACCAGGCAACATCGTAAACAACATAAGTGGTTGGATAAAAGCTCAAAAATGGTGTGGTGTTCTCCTGTTGCCATATAATAACACTCCAATCTGCAGAACAGCTTAAGAATACATCATGACAAAATGGATTCCATGCTATTTTATACACTGGGCCCTAGAATTAGAAAAATAAATTAAAATACATAGATAAATAATATTGAACATCTTATATTTTAAACCTGACCAACAAATTAAAATGCTAAGCTTTCTAGAAGATTTATGCACCATGCATTATTGTGTATTATTTTAGCTGAGAGTAACGTCATAGATAGAATCTTCCCTAAATTATGCCATATGGAAACATAAAAATAGAGCTGTTATAATACTAACTAAATATTAATACATACTATACTTATTTACTTTAAGAGTATAAGGATTATTTTTTTTAAATGAGGGAGAAAATGAAGAAAACATAGATGGAACAATCACAAAGGATACAGAAAATAAGTATATGCCAGACACATTTTTACTTTGGGATCAGCATGTTGTCATAAGCAAAGTCTTTTAGAACCAAATGAAAATTGTAACTTCCACAACTTGCAAGAAGAGATCAAGAATATCTAAAAGCCAGGGGTGCCTAGTGGCTCAGTCAATTAAATATCCGACTCCTGACTTCAGCTCAGGTCATGATCTCAGGGTCATGAGATTGAGGCCTGTGTGGGGCTCCATGCTGAGCATGGAGCCTGCTTAAGATTCTCTCACTCCCTCTTCGTCTGCCCCTCCCCACCCCCCAGATCACATATATGCATTCTCTCTCTCTCTCTCAAAAAAAAAAAGAAAAAGACTATCTAGAAGCCAAATAAGATGCCCCACATGTTATTGATGTTTCCATACAAGAAAGCACTTAATTCAAGTTGGTAATGTTAACTCTGAAGTTGTAAATCTATTGCATGTTAAAAGTACTGTGTATAATACTATTTTTTTCAGAAATATTAAAAGATAAATTTTCCATACCTACTATAATTAAACTAACCTTATGTCCTCTGTAGGTATCAAGGTATTGTTCATTATACGAACAAGAGCATTTGTGAATATGACCTTCTTCAGTGCCAGCCAAATAGATATTTGTATCCTACAACACAAAAAATTAAAATGTATTAGCTTGTGATACATTAGTAAATATGCTAAATAGAAAATGAGATCCCTCAAGATCTATTAAAATCAATTCTAGAACCCAAACTAGAAATACTATCTTGATCATGGTTGTCTGTTGTCTTTTGCTTTCTATCATGATTTTATAATAATTAAACTACCTGAAGGACTACTATGCAAAGAAAATACAGGTTTGTTCTTTGCTGGAATAGATGGAAGAACTTAGATCCTATCTAGAAATTAAATGGACAAACACTGGCTTTAAATGAGGAAGAAAATTTCCAATATTTAAAGTTACCTAATAATGGAACTAATAATGGAATCCAGGGAAATAGTAAATGTTCTTTTCATTAGAACTAGTCAAAGAGAAGACAGATGACTTAACAGTAATTGTTTATGTATATAATGCTGAAGAAATGACTCTGGCTTGGAATGAAAGATTGAAATAAATGGATTTTTAACACTGAATGTATGCACTAAATAGAGATTTTAAGTGTATTTCCTACACTGAAGTCATAGTCAAAAGTTCTGAAAGTCAGGCTCTATGTCCTGGCTATGTAAAGTCAGTATCACCTGGGAGCATTTTAGAGATGCAAAATCTCAGGCCCTACCCCAGACCTACCGAATCAGAATCTGCATTTTAACAAGATTCCCAAGTAATTTGTATGCACATTAAAATTTGAGACACACTGCTCTAGCATGTACCAGTACTTAAGAATGCAACTACTAGATCATGGAATATAAGTAGTTTTATTATTTTTTTAAATTTTTTATTGTTATGTTAATCACCATACATTACATCATTAGTTTTAGATGTAGTGTTCCATGATTCATTGTTTGTGCATAACACCCAGTACTCCATGCAGAACGTGCCTTCTTTAATACCCATCACCAGGCTAACCCATCCTCCCACCCCCCTCCCCTCTAGAACCCTCAGTTTGTTTTTCAGAGTCCATCGTCTCTCATGGTTTGTTGGAATATAAGTAGTTTTAAATAACACAATAAAGTATATTTTTCCCCAAACTGGTATTACCAATTTATATTCAGCAGTATATAGAAGTTCCCTTTGAGGGTGCCTGGATGGCTCAGTTGATTAAGCAACTGCCTTCGGTTCAGGTCATGATCCTGGAGTCCCAGGATCAAGTCCCATATCAGGCTCCCTGCTCAGCAGGGAGTCTGCTTCTCCCTCTGACCCTCCTCCCTCTCATGCTCTCTATCATCCTCTCTCTCTCAAATAAATAAATAAAAATCTTAAAAAAAAAAAAAGAAGTTTCCTTTGATCCACATTCTCATCAACAGTTGGGTTACATTAGAAATCTTAAATTTTGCCATTGTATGAGGTATAAAATTATACCTAATGATTTTAGGTCCCATGTTTATGAATATTAACAAGGTTGAGCACATTTTTATGTTTACTGGCCATTTGTAGTTCCTCTTCTGTTCATGTCTCTTAACTATGTTACTCATATTTTTTATATTCATTTCTAAGGAAGTTCTTTATATATTCTATATATAATTATATATTATATTTATATATCTATATTATATATTGTATTACATATGCTTGTCTATTATAAATGTTGCAAATATCTTCTCCAAGTGTATGGTTTACCTTTTTACTTTCTTAGTATTTGACAGAGAGACAGAGAGATAGAGAGAGTGGGAACACAAGCAGGGGGAGTGGGAGAGGGAGAAGCAGGCTCCCCGCTGAGCAGGGAGCCCAATGTGGGGCTCAATCTCAGGACCCTGGCATCATGACCTGAGTCCAAGGCAGATGCTTAATGACTGAGCTACCCAGGCACCCCTCTTTGGTGTCTTTTGATAAACAGAAGTTCTCCTTTTAATGTAGCTGGTCTTATAACTTTTTTATATATTAGTATTTTTTTGTGCTTTGTTTAAGAAATTTTTCCTATTTTGAGGTAATAGAAATGTTTTCCTACATCTTCTTCTAGAAGTTTTTTGTGTATGATGGGGTAGGTGTCTAATTCCATTGTTATATGGATAATGATTATTCCAACACCATTTATAAGTAGGTTATCTTTCTCTAGAGATCAAGGTCACTGTCTAGAGTTGTTTTTGTCAGTCTATTAAAATCTGAGATTTCCGTTCAAGAGATTTATTAGGGAGTTCTCTTAGCAACAATCTCTTTGAAAGGAACAGAAATGGGCAGAGATTTAAGTTGAACTATGATGCAGTTGCAACAGAGGGCTCAGCCCAACCTCCAAGAAGTTCTGGAGTTGAGATAGCCCTTCAGAGTCCTACCTCCAGCCAAGGAAGCCAGACATATTATACCACCATCCTCCACCACCACCAATAAAGTAGTGAAGCAAAATGATAGACTCAAACCAAACCATATCAAAATCAAACTAAATGTAAATGGTCTAAACATCACAATTAAAAGGCAGACATTGTAAGATTAGATAAAAAAGCAAGACCCAACTATATGTGACCAATAAGAAATGTACTTTAAATATAGAGACATATGTAGGTTAAATGTAAAAGGATGGAAAATGATTTAGGAAACAAAACAAACAAACATGGCGGAGGGGGGTTGGCGGGGAATGAGAGGAAGACCAAGAAATAGACTCTTAACTATAGGGAACAAACTGATAGTTACCAGAGGGGAGAAGGGTAGGGGGATGAGTTAAATAGATGATGGGTATTAAGGAAGGCACTAGTTGTGATGAACACCAGGTGTTGTATGTAAGTGCTGAATCACTAAATTCTATATCTGAAACTAGTATCACACTGTACATTAACAAGAATTTACATAAAAACTTAATTTAATAAAAGCATGCTAACACTAGTTGAAAGAATGCTGGGTGCCTGCATTAATATCAGATTAAGTTGATTTCAGAGTAAATAATATTACCAGTTATAAACAAAGCCACTTTACAATGATAAGAGAGTTGATTAATCAAGAGAACATAACAATCCTACACATTTATATATCTAAAACAAAGCATCAAGATAAAAACTGATAGAATTACAAGGAAAAAATAGACAAATCCCCAGTTATGGCCAGAGACTTCAGTACCTCTCTCTTAATAACTGACAGAAGAAAATCAGCAAGGATATAGTCAACTCGAACAACACTTTCAACCACTCTAACATGATTGTCATTCATAGAACATTCCACCCAACAGCAGCAGAATATATATTTTTCTGAAGTGCACAGTGAAATTTACATGTAAATATCACTTTCTGGGCTTTAAAACAAATCTCAATAAATTCAAAAGGATTCAGTATAAACAGTTCATTCTCTGATCATGATGTTATTGAATTAGAAATCGGTAACAGAAAGATCCTTGGCAAAGTACCAAATATTTAAAAACTAAATAGTATGCTTCTCAATAATCCACCCATCAAAAAAGAAATCAAAGGAGAAATTAGAAAGTATTCCAAATAGAATAAAAATGAAAATACAACATATTAGAGTTTGTGGGATGCTGCCAAAGCAGTATTTAGAGAAAAATTATAGCACAAATGCGTCTATCATAAAAGAAGAAAAGTCACAAATCAATGATCCCAGCTTCCACTTTAAGAAGCCAGAAAAAGAAGAGCAAATAAAACCAAAGTAGAAGAAAATAAAAGATCAAATTAGAAATCAATTATATAGAAAACAGAAGAACAATAGTGAAATACAGAGAAATCAAAAGCTGGTTCTTTGAGATCAATAACATTGATAAATTTCTAGCCAGACTAAAAAAAAGAGAAAGAAGAGAGAAGACACAAATTACTAGTAGTAGGAATTAAAGAGGTGATATCACTACATATTTTATAACTCTTAAAGGATACTAAGGAAATATTACTATGCCACTAAATTTAATAACTTAGATGAAATAAATTCCTTGAAAGATACAAATTACCAAAGTTCACTCAAGAAGAAATAGATAATAATATAATAATAACCCTATATCTATTTAAAATTTGAATTTCTAGTTGAAAGTTAAAAATCTTCCCAAAAGAAAACTCCAGGCCCAGATGGTTTATTAATTCCATCAAACATGTAATGAATAAATAATGCTAATTGTATGCAAATTCTTTCAAAAAAGTAAAAAGGGAATACTTTTCGACTAATTCTACAGGATTATCCCAACACCAAAACCAGACAAAGACATTACCAGAAGAGAAAACTATGGATGAATATCCCTTACAAACAAAGATGAAAAATCTTTTTTTTTTAAAGATTTTATTTATTTATTTGAGAGAGAGAGAATGAGAGAGAGCGAGTATATGAGATGGGGGAGGGTCAGAGGGAGAAGCAGACTCCCCGCCGAGCAGGGAGCCCAATGCGGGACTCTATCCAGGGACTCCAGGATCATGACCTGAGCCGAAGGCAGTCGCTCAACCAACTGAGCCACCCAGGCGCCCCAAAGATGAAAAATCTTAAACAAAATTTTAGCATATCAAATCCAACAGTAGATTAAAAGTATAAATCATGATCAAATGGGATTTATTTCAGAAACAAAAATTTAAAAATTAATGTAATTCATCATGTTAACAAACTTAGAAAGAAAAACTATATAATCATCTCCATAGATGTAGAAAAAGTATTTGACAAAAACCTAACATCCATCCCTGATAAAAGTCTCAACAAATGGTAATGTAATGGGATCTCCTCAATGTGACTGCATCTACAAAAAAACCACAGCTTACATCATACTTAATAGTAAAGGGACTGAATACTTTCTCCCTAAGATCAGAAACAAGAGGGGGATGTTTGTTTTCACCACTTCTATTCGTCATTGTGCTGGAAGTTCAAGCCACTATAATCAGGAAAGAAAAAGAAATAAAAGGTAACCAGATAGGAAAGGAAGAAGTAAAACTATTTACAAACTACATGATTATCTCAAATTCTTTATGCCAAGGACATTTCTAGGACACCAGACACCAGAAAAGGATTTCTCAATCCAACACCATTGATATTTTGGGTCAGATAATAATAATAATAATAATAATAATAATAATAATAAATATAATAAAATTATTATCGTTATCCTTCTCCTCCTCCTTCTTCTTTCCCTTCTCCTTCTTTTTTCCTTCCCCTTGTCTTTCTCCTTCCTCTTCTCCTTCCCCTTCCCCTTCCCCTTCCTTTTTTCCTTCTCCTTCTTCTGTGCAGAGGAACACAGTACTTGTCTTGCGCATTGTAGGATGTTTAACAGCATCCCTGGCCTCTGCATGTCCCACCTCTTAGAGCTGAAACAACCAAAAATATCTCAAGACATTGTGAAATGTACCCTCGTGATGAGAAATGCCCCTCCCTGCCAACATTGAGAACCACTGTTCTAGAGTCAAGGTGAAATGTGAATTACAAGAATTTGAGAATGAAAGCAGTTAAGAATACAACTACAATGGTAAAAGTGAAACTTAATAAAGGCTTGAACTACATTAGCAGTGAGTAGGCTTGGACTGAAAGGAGTAGGACAATAAGACTTAAGTATCATTTGGATGATTGATAGGGTAGAATAGAGTAGGAGCTCAAGTTTTGGTTTGCAAAGTTAGGTGGATGATGGTGTCACTAAAAAGATGATCATATTACATATAACAGAAAACACATAGGATATGTTTCCTTAGATGTCTGTCATAGTTGCTGAATTTACTGACTCCAAAGAACTTCCAGATAAAAAGAATGAGAAAAAGTAGAACTTCACTAACTGTGCTTTGATTTGATTCTGGTCTTGATAAACATGAACTTAACTGGTCTTCCTGATCCTCAGAATCATGAGAGTTACCACTCACACTGACATAGAGGACTGTGTAGTAGATTCGGTTTCTATCAATATGATAAAGTAGCAGAACACCCAAGAGGAGCAAGGAGGGGCATTCAAGTTAAACATGAAGTTGTAAAGAGAATCCTTCCACAGTTCCTCAGAAATAGAGACCTTTCCTCTAGAAAGCAGATAAAGACATGGTACAGCCAACTAGAAGGGGCCACTCTACCTTAGTTTGGCAGCTATGTCTACATTTGTTCTATTCTTACTTACAAGGCACAATATTTATTAACATGCTAAAACTTTGCCTTGCTTTATATCTTAATACACTTCAATTACTGGAAGGTGTTATATGCAATAGTAAATAATGGATTGAGATACTTTACCTTAGGATGAAAAGCAAAACACATTCCAGGAGCCTGTCGAGATATCAGAGCTTCACCTTTTTTTTCCTTTTCCCCTCCCTTTTTGCTGCTGCTAGCAGTAGTTCGCCTCAAACGCATCAAATCTTTATTTAAAGAAAAAAACATGTATCTTATTTACCACATTTAAAAGTATTGTATATATAATGTGTGTCCCTTCTACAAAGAATAGTATGATTTCTGCCATCTTTTGCATGTGATTTGGTTAAAATTAGCAAATACCAGAACAAGATGCTTAGAAAAACAATGACAAAGCCCAGTATTTTTTCTTATGTAGCTAAACTAAAATTGGCCACCTCTTGCACATGGCTCACTAGAAATTTTAAGGCAACACATAACAAGAGAAAGATAATTGATTGATAAATACATATGTATGTATACATTCTTTTTACCATGACAGTCTAGTCCTTTCCGTATAACCCATTTGGAGATTCTTCCATCTGCTGATATAGAAACGAGTATTTCTCTTTTGTCATCACCTGTTGTCCCTCGATCTTGTTCTATCCATTGTAGTTGCCATACAGGTCCCAAATGTTTTTGAGGTGATTCACTAAAATGGGGAAAAGCACTAAACATAGAATCATCATCATAATTTTTAAAAGGACATGAGTCTCAGTCATAAGGACAGCTCCCTGGAGCACTGTGACCTACTTATAGAATGATGCCTTTATTATTCAAAGTTGGACTTTTACTTTAAGTATTTCAAAAAATGGGAAAAATAATCATTTTGTCATGTAGTATTTTTTGTTTTTCTCATTTCTTATAAAAGGAAAATTTTACTGCCTTTAATTATATTAACTGCCATAACAGAAATACAAAAGAAAATATTTTCTTTCTTTTCAGAATATATTTTCCTTACTCTATTCATTTACTTTTTCCTAGATAAGTTATGTAAATTTATTTTGGACACATTGAGTATAAGTATCTTTACCTGTATAAGGATTTTTTTCATAGCTTAAATGAATAAATTATTTAAGTCTTATTTAAATAAACAATTACCTCACCTTTCTTTCTGTGTTTCAGGTTTGCCCATTGGCTTGGTTCTCTATATGGCCAGATTTAACATTTTTCTGAAGAATTAAAATTGCTTCTCAGATTACTGACTGCTTTCCTATCAGAATAATGGGTTGCTCTGTTCATAGTACTGACTCTCTTGATTTTTTTATGCAAATCTTCCAAAGCAATAGTTCTGAATCTTTTAAAAATCATATAGCTTTGATTATTTGGTAAAAGTTATAGATCATCTTCCCAGAAACAAGCACAAAGGCCCATGTTTATAAAACCATGCAAATAATTTCAAAGTTAAGCTTAAGGACCCTGCTTTATACCTATTTTCAGCTCTAGCTAAGTTTATTCAAACACTAATATAAATATACTACTTCATTTTTGCCCCAGTGGTATCTGATCTATTACAAAAACCTAACATATTCAATATTTTTCACTTTTCACTTTTTTATTTTCTCAATACACTTATTCATTCATTCATTTATTTTTAATCAAATACTTACTATAATCCTACTACATGCCTGATATTATGTGACAGGCCAAGGATACAAAAGTAAGACTTAATCCTTGACTTCAAATTGCTTACAGCTCTTCAGGAAGATATATATGTAAACAATATATATACAGTATGATAACTGCTATGATAACTAATACAAATGCCCAAAAGAATGGAATGGGAAGGTTATGTGGAAGGGGTGACACCAAAGTAATAAAGGGTACAAACTTTCAGTTACAAGATGAATAAGTTCTAGAGATATAATATACAGTATGATGATCATAGTTAATAATACTGTACTATATACTTGAAATTTGCTAAGAGAGTAGATCTTAACTGTTCTCACCACATACACAAAAAGGTAACTATGTGAGGTGACAGATGTATTAATCAATTTGATTGTAGTAAACATTCCACAATGTATACATATATTAAATAATTACATTGTACCCCTTAAAAAAATCACATTGTATGACCTAAATGTATACAATTTTTATTTGTCAATTATACCTTAATAAAGCTGGGGAAATTTAAAAATTTTTTTTAAAAGAATAAACATAAACTGTCAAGGAAGGTTGGTGAGGCAGACAGAGAACATGCAGATTTTAGAATAAGAACATTCCAGCTAGAGAGAGAATATGAGGAATTATTAAATGTCTGAAAAAATAATGGTATCACTCTCAATAACAACATAAACATTCACTCAAAAATAAAAAACATTAAATTTTTACTTTTCCCTAAAAAAGCACATATTACATGTTTACCTAATTCCTGGATTCTCACCTACTATCCAGAACCGGAACATTACTGTTGCTCTGCACATTATAAATGGCAATGGTGCCATTGTGATAGCCAACTGCTAACAGATTAGGTGCTCCAATTGAGAAATCCACAGCAGTCACTCCATATGGACTCTGATAAATGCGTTCTGGCCACTAAATAAAAAAACTGTATTACATTTTAAACCTGGTTTTGCAGGCCATAAAAGAGCATAATGATGGCTGAATGGTGGATTGTCTGGTGACAGGGGAAATGTAAGAAGAGTTAGTCTACATTCAGTTACTCCTCTACCCCTAACTTCTAGTATAGATGAGAACCAAAGGTCAATTAGTCATTTCCTTTACTTTGGTGCATCCTCAGAGTGCAATAATTTTAAGAAATACAGCATGGCCTTCTCCAATAAGTATCATATTTTGCTAATCTTTCAGCAGGATTTGTATGATCTCATCATAGATCACCTTCTTTAAGAAACAAATAATGGACTCCAAACAAATTAGCTAGCAATGTTCCTATCTTCCAGTATCTGTTTCAGATGCTTGGATTATCTAGACATTTCTAAACAGTGGATAGAAGAAGCTCCAAAAAACTCTCTAAGGTAATCTTTTCTACAATTCTGTGAAGAGTTTTGTTGTTTTGTTTTGTTTAAAGTCTAATCTAAATCCTTTCCTGCTTCTAATAATCTATGTGGAAAAGAAGACAACTTACTGATTATGGATCTTATATCAATCCTTCCACATGTTTAAAATTGCTTCTTCCTTCCTTTCTTTTACTCTACATAAACCCAGCTTCCTATAACAGACTGGGGCTATTTATAAAAGCTCTAATCTTTTTTTTTTTTTTTCCCTCTGACCCTTTTCTAAGTTTTCTACTTCACATCTCAGTTATTAATACTAATGTAAAGCTGCAAAGTAACATACTGACTACAACTGTTTGACAAAAAACATGATTGACTCTTATTCTTGAAAAATTCATGCTAATAACATGGTCACATTCATCTATTTCATGTATTCAGGATAGCAGAAATCTATCTTATAAGGCGATGATTTATTCATACATTAAGAAACAACCCAGTATTAAATGAAACATAATTTTCAAAGGATTTTCATTTGCAAATTTATTCTTCATTTTGATAAAAAATAATGGTTCAATTCTGGATCATCAGATCTAACAACACCTAGTAAATGCTCAATAAATATTTATTAAATGAATTTACCCTACACATCAACAAAAACAAATTTTAATTCTTACACATTTAAACCAAAGAAAATAAAGTCTTCCTTGGTCATTTTTTGACTTTAATTATCACATACAACTAGGTACTTTATGAGAATTATGTCAACATTTAATTGAATAAAAATGGGTTTATTCCTATTTGGTTACCATAGGATTCTTTATTGACCAGCAGCAAGCCAATCCTCTTTTTTGCTCTTTAAATCCAAAGTGCCCATAGCCAACAGCCAAAAGATCCTGAAAACCAGCAAAGTATGTTTAAAATAAGAGAAGATAGCATAAAAATATTGGGAAATATATAAAGATGCATATTAATGAACTGTGTTAAAAACAGCAATAAGACATTTCTATTGAGAAAAAAGTACCAGTCTACCATCTATTTTTACTTTACACCTCCATCTTCCAAAACAAAATAATAATCATCATATTTTCAGACTAATGAATATCTAAAAAGAATCAATTGCTAAAAAGTTATATATTGAGATAATCTTCCAAGATTATATTACTACATTATAATGTTTTGTAGGTTTTTGAGAATGACCTAATTATTTCAAATATAAAGACAGGGTGCCATGAACTGAATTGTGTCTCTTTTCTTAAAACTCATGTGTTGCAGTCTTAATCCCCAATATCATTATTTTGAAGATAGGGCTTTTAGGAGGTAACCAGGATTAAATGAGGTCATAAGGGTCATAATCTTAATCCAATAGGATTGGTGGATATAAAAAGAGGAAGAGACACCAGAGCTCTCTCTTTCCATCATGTGAGAGCACAGCAAGAAGGTGGCCATCTGCAAGCCAGGAAGAGAGCCTTCACCCAGAACCAAATCAGCCAGCACCTTGATCCTAAACTTCCTGGACTCCAGAACTACAAGAAAATACATTTCTGTTTTTTAACCCAGCCAGTCTAGGTATTTTGTTATGGTACCCCAAACTGATTAATAAAGCAGGTCATTTCAAGAAATGCTTATAGACAAAAATTTAATAACTGACCAAACCCAGCCTCTTCTTCGTAATCAGAATACCTTTATCAAAAATATATTATTATATTTTTTGCCACAATCCTATTTTCAAGCCAACATCATGTCTCTATAATTTCCTCTGTCTTAAACTACTCTTCACCACTATTCCTTTTACCCTGACATGGACAAGTTTTTATTAATCTCTTCTAGACTCAGCATAGGCACCACTTCCTCTGAGAAGCATTCATGAGCCTCTCTTATGTATTCCCACAGCACTAGCTATTTTCCTTATTAAAGCACATAGAGACCATTATACAGGCAGGGTCTATGTATGACTAAATTGCTACTGCAACTCTAGTGCCTTATCAGAGTTCCTGGCACAGAGTGAATGTTCAATAAATATTTGTAGAATGAATTTTTTTTTTAAAGATTTTATTTATTTATTTGAGAAAGAGAATGAGAGACAGAGAGCATGAGAGGGAGGAGGGTCAGAGGGAGAAGCAGGCTCCCCGCCAAGCAGGGAGCCCGATGCGGGACTCGATCCCGGGACTCCAGGATCATGACCTGAGCCGAAGGCAGTCGCTTAACCAACTGAGCCACCCAGGCGCCCCAGAAAGAGACTCTTTAAAAAGGCTTCATGCCCAGTGTGGAGCCTGACTCAGGGCTCAATCTCACAACCCTGAGATCATGATGTGAGCCAAAATCAAGAGTCAGACACTTAACCAACTGAGCCACCCAGTCTCCCCTATAATCATCTCTTTTTTAAAAGCAAACATACTGTTCCTACCTTGATGATTCATATAATTTGCCTCAAGATGATTTTTGGTGGCAGTGCAGTTAAGAGCAAGAACCCTGGAGACAGATGTTTGGGTTTGAATTCTAGCTGTTTCACTTACTAGTTGTGTAACTTTGGGCAAGTTATTTATCCTTTTTGTACTTCAGTTTCCTCATCAACATATTGGGTAAAATAGTACCTAACTCAAGAGTTGTTGTGTTAATACAAGTAAAGTGCTGGCAATAGCACCTGGGACATAGTAAGTGCTATTTAAATATTTGCTATTATTGGTAGTAATAGTTAATTTTAGGAATCTCAAAATTATTTTGCACATTTTCAGAGTCACTAGATTAAGTATATACTTCTGAATATGATTACTTTAAGAAAAATATAAATTTTGATACTCTATGGTAAAATAATCTTCAACAAAGCAGGAAAAAACATCCACTGGAAAAAAGACAGTCTCTTCAATAAATGGTGCTGGGAAAATTGGACAGCTATATACAGAAGAATGAAACTCGACCATTCTCTTATACCATACACAAAGATAAACTCAAAATGGATGAAAGACCTCAATGTGAGATAGGAATCCATCAAAATCCTAGAGGAGAACATAGGCAGTAACCTCTTCGACACAGGCCACAGCAACTTCTTTCAAGACATGTCTCCAAAGGCAAGGGAAACAAAAGCAAAAATGAACTTTTAGGATTTCATCAAGATAAAAAGCTTCTGCACAGCAAAGGAAACAGTCAACAAAACAAAGAGGCAACCCACAGAATGGGAGAAGATATTTGCAAATGACACTACAGATAAAAGGCTAATATCCAAGATCTATAAAGAACTCAAACTCAACACCCCAAAAAAACAAATAATGAAGTCAAAAAATGGGCAGAAGACACGAACAGACACTTCCCTAAAGAAGACATACAAATGGCTAACAGACACATGAAAAAATGTTCATTATCATTAGCCATCAGGGAAATTCAAATCAAAACCACACTGAGATACCACCTTACATCAGTTAGAATGGCAAAAATTGACAAGGCAAGAAACAACAAATGTTGGAGAGGTTGGGGAGAAAGGGGAACCCTCTTACACTGTTGGTGGGAATGCAAGTTGGTACAGCGACTTTGGAAAACAGTGTGGAGGTTCCTCAAAAAGTTAAAAATAGAGCTACCCTATGACCCAGCAATTGCACTACTAGGTATTTACCCCAAAGATACAGATATAGTGAAAAGAAGGGCCATATGCACCTTAATGTTCATAGCAGCAATGTCAACACAATAGCCAAACTGTGGAAAGAGCCGAGATGCCCTTCAACAGATGAATGGATAAAGAAGATGTGGTCCATATATGCAATGGAATATTACTCAGCCATCAGAAAGGATGAATACCCAACTTTTACATCAACATGGGTGGGACTGGAGGAGATTACGCTAAGTGAAATAAGTCAAGCAGAGAAAGTCAATTACCATATGATTTCACTTATTTGTGGAACATTAGGTATAGCATAGAGGACATTAGGAGAAGGAAGGGAAAAATGAAGGGGGGAAATCGGAGGGGGAGACAAACCATGAGAGACTATGGACTCTGAGAAACAAAATGAGGGTTCTAGAGGGGAGGGGAGTGGGGGGATGGGTTAGCTCGGTGATGGGTATTAAGGAGGGCACGTATTACATGGAGCACTGGGTGTTATACACAAACAATGAATCATGGAACACTAAATCAAAAACTAACGATATACTACTGTATGGTGACTAATATAATTTAAAAAATTTAAAAAATTATATAGACTTATTGTTAAAGAAAGTATATTAAAAGCAAAATTAATTAAAAAATTGGGTACATGAGTTTGATATATTTGAAATCGATTATATATTATCTTCTGGTTTAATTTTCAGTATCTGATATGGATTCAGAGAATACCATGTCCCAAGTACATCTCCTAAAATAAAAATATGATGTTTTCATATTAAAGGAGAAAAAAATTATTTTATAACTATTTTTATTTTCCACTTTTTGAAACATGAACTTGTTGTAAAGGGATGTTAAAACTCTGGCTTATGTCAATTAAAATCCCTTGCCTAAAATCTGAGAAAAAAAAAATCTTTGTTAGTACTTGACAGTCACCTTTACATGATAAAGATAGAATTGTTAAAATGTTCAATAACTTACAGGATTTGTTTTATTCCAGGCAAGGCTGCTCACATTAAGACCTTTGGTTAAGTCACAGGAAAAGGACCAAAGTCGTTCCAAATTGGCTGGTATTGTTGACTGTTCTGTACCTATTTCTATTTCTTCTTCCTCTTCCTTCTTAACCTCTTCCTCTGTCTCTTGTTCAAGTTTTTCACCTTCTAAAAAGTCTTCAGGTTCTTCAGGTTCTGGTTCTAAAATTAAATCACAAAAAGGGATTATTGTCCTCTATACCTGCAGGAGCCCCCCAAAGGCTCCAAACAGCATCTCTATCTATGAGACATTTCAAGCACCATTGAATCTGCTGGAACATAGGGCCCAAGTGACAGGGCATTCTGAATGACTGCCTGGACCTGTTGTAGAATCCTCTGTTGTTCTGGGCCCCACTCAAAGCTAGCACCTTTTCAGGTCACTCAGTAAATGAGCTGGAGTCATACGGCCAAAGGAGGAATATGTTGCCTCCAAGGAACAAAGAAGTCTACTAGGCATTGTAACTTTTTTTTTGGTTCTAAGAGGGGCCAGATGAAGCAACTTATCCTTCACCTTGGTAGGTATATCTTGATATACCCCATATCACCAGACCGTTGGAAATTTCACTGAGGTGGAAAGCCCCTAAAAATTTTTATCAGATTTATTTCTCACCCTCGGGCATGCAAATGCCTTACCAATAAGTCTACTTCTTGTTCACCAGTTCCAATCAGCATAATATCATCAATGTAATGGACCAGTGTGATATTTTGTTGAAGGAAAAAGTACCTGCAGACTAAATTATGACATAAAGCTGAAGAGTTGATACAACTCTGAGGTAGGGCAGTGAAGGTGTATTGCTGGCCTGGCTAGCTGAAAGCAAATGGTTTCCAGTGGTTTTTATCAACAGGTATTGGGGAAAAAAAGGCATTTTCTGTGTCAATAGTTACATACCAGGTACCAGGGGATGTGTTAATTTGCTCTGGCAATGAAACAACATCTGGAACAGCAACTGCAATTGGAGTCAACACTTGGTTAAGTTTACAATAATCCACCGTTATTTCCCAAGATCCTGTGTTTTCTATGCAGGCAAAATGATGAGTTGAATGGGGGATATGATGGGAGTCAATGCTCCTGCATTTTTCAAGTCCTTGATGGTAGCATTAATCTCTACAATCCCTCCAGAAATGTGGTATTGCTTTGGTTTACTATTTTCATAGGTAGAGGCAGGCCTAGTGGCTTCTACTTAGCCATTTCCTACCATAATAGCCCTCACTCCACAGGTCAAGGGTAAAACACAGGGATTCTGCCAGTTGCTAAATATTTCTATTCCAAAGTATACATTCTGAAACAGGGGAAATAACTACAGGATAGGTTCAGTGACCCACTAGACCCACTAGGAGATGGACTTGAGCTAAAATTCCATTGATTACCTGACCTCTCTAAGTCCTTATCTGGCTAATAGACCACAGTGATGTTAGGTCTTGTGACGTTAGTGTCTGTTCAGAGCTAGTGTCCAATAATCCCTGAAATTTCTGATTGTTTCCTTTTCCCCAATGCATATCACCCTGATAAAAGACTATAGGTCCCTCTGGGGAAAGCTGAGAGAAATATTAACAGTATATATTTTCAACAGTATAGTGGGATATCTCCCCTTTATTCAAGGAATTCTGGGTCTGAAAACTGACTCAAATCTAGAAATTGCTTAAAGGGCTATGACTTTGCTTTGGTATTTCAAGTTATACTTCTGCTCACTTGACTCTTCTGTTTATATAGATCATATAAGAATTTAGGAGGAGACCGCCTTTTATTGGCTGAACTGTGTCTCCCTAAAATTCTTATATTGAAGCCCTAATCCCCAGTACCTTAGAATGTAATGGAGACAAAGGCTTTAAAGAAGTGATTAAGTTATAACAAGGTCATTACTCTGGGTCCTAATTAAATATGACTGCTATCTTTATAAGAAAAGGAAATTTAGACACATCAAGAGACACAAGGGATGCACATGCACAGAGAAAAAACCATGTAAAGAGACTCTAAGAGGGTAGCCATATGCAAGCCAAGAAGAGAGGCCTCAGAGGAAACCAACTCTGTTCACACCTCAATTGTGGGCTTCCAGCCTCCAGAATTATGAGAAAGTAAATTTCTGTTGTTTAAGCCACCCAGTTTGTGGTATTTTGTTATGGCAGCCCTATTAAACCAATACAGCACCTACCTATTTCTCTTCTAGGGACATGATGATCAACTAGCCAATGCCATGGGTTTCTGTGAGTCAGACTACTCTGATTTCTGCTAAATCCACCTAACATCTGATAAATCCACCCTAACATTCCCATCTCCCTAAGCCTTTGGATACCTTTCTCTATAGTGTCCCAAAGTAGTTCTGACATTTCAACTTCATTTAGTGGAAACCACATTTTGGTCTAATATTAGCAAACAAGAAGGAAGGAAGGAAGGAAGGAAGGAAGGAAGGAAGGAAGGAAGGAAGGAAGGAAGGAAGGAAGGAAGGAAGGAAGGAAGGAGAGAGAGAAATACTGCAGCATTTTTTAATTGTGAGAAAATTCATTGATATGCATAGATTTTAGCTGTATAGTTTAATGAGTTTTGATAAATAGACACACCGATGTAACCAACACACCAGTCAAGATAGAAAACATATCCATCAACCAAAAAAGTTTCCTCGTGCTACTTTCCAGTCAAGCTCAACCCACCACAGCCAAGCACTGGTTTGATTTCTATCACCTCAGATTAGTTTTGTTTGTGATAGCATATCACATAAATGGGTTTGTTGGTATGTATTCTTTTGTGTCTGGCTTCTTTCACTCAACAATGTTTTTGAGATCCATCAAGGTTATTATGTATGTAAGTAGTTCATTTTTATTGCTGAGTTGTGCTCCATCATTTGTTTATGCATTGACCTGTTGATGGATATCTGGGCTGTTTCCCAGTTCGGGGCTATTATGAATATAGTTGCTATGAGCATTCTTACATAAGTGTTTTTTGCAGACATATGTTTTCTTTTCTTGGGTGAATACCCAGGGACAGGATTATTGGATGATTGGGTGGATCTGTACTTAACTTTTTAAGAAACTTCCCAGCAGACTTCCAACATGGTTGTACAATTTTATACTCCCGCAACAATATTTAAAAAACCCAGTTACTCCATATTCTTGCTTGGTGTTGTCAGTCTTTTTAATTTTAGCCATCCCAACTAGTGTATAGTGGCATTTTGCTATGGTTTCAACTTGCATTTCCTTGACAACAAATTATGTTTAGTACCTTTTAAGGTGTCTATTGATCATTCATGTATATTTTTAGTGAAATTTCTGTTCAAATCTTTTGCCTACTTTTTATTAGACTGTCTATTTTTTATAGGCTGTATGTGTCTTTTACATATTCCTAATTTATGTCTTTGGACAGATGTATATTGTAAACACATTCTTCTAGACTGTTACTTGCATTTTTTTTCCTTAACAGCGTTATTCAAAGAGCAGACATTTTAACTACTGTGAAAGCCTTACCAATTTTTTTCTTTCATGTCTTGGGATTTTTATGTATTAAATAATCTTTTCTTATGCTAAGATCACAAACATTTTCTCTTTTGTCTTCTTCTAGAACTTTTTAGTTTTAATTTTATATTTAAATCTATAGCCCATTCTGAGTTAATTTATATGTATGATATGACATGGGGGTTGAGGTTCATTTTTTTCCCCTCATATGGATGTCCAATAGTTTCAGCACCATTTATGAAAAGATCAGTCTTTTTAAATTAATTCACCTTGGCATATTTGTCAAAATCAAGTGACTATATAGGTCTGTGTTTATTTCTGGACTCACACACTATTCTATCCCAGCCATCTGTATGTCTGCCCTTTGACAAATACCACATTTCCTACATTACTGTAGCTTTATAGCAAATTGCTTGTGATCAGATAGGGTAAGTCCTTCGATTTTATTCTTCTGTTTCAAAATTGAATTTGTTATTCCAGTTCGTTTGCTTTGCCATATAAAATTTGTGATCATTTTGACAATTTAATTATCTTTAAGAAAAAATTTAAAAAATTTTAAATAGTAAGAAATGTCTCTTACTTTCACTCACATTTTCCAATTCTAGCACTCCATTAGTTTGTGTAGATCCTAATTTCTGTTATTATTTTTTATCAGTCTGAAGGACTTCCTTTAACATTTCTTGCAATGCTTGTCTGCTGGCAATGAATTCTCTAAGCTTTTCTTTGTCAGAACATGCTTTTATTTCACCTCGATTTCTGGATATTTTCTCTAGGTGTAGAATTTTTTAGCACAGTAAAAATGTCATTGCATTGTCTTCTGGCTTCTGATGAGAAATAAGGTCATTATTAGCTTTATTCCCCAAATGTCATGTATTTTCTCTGGCAACTTTTAAGATTTTTTGACATATTACTTATGGTGTGCCTCAATGTGGTTTTCATTGTGTTTATCTTGTTTAGGTTTCATTGAGCTTCTTATAATTGTTCTAAGATTTTTTTCAAGTATGGAAAATTTTTAGCTACCCTTTCTTCAAATATTTTTCTGCTTCTCCTCCTCTTTTCCACTACTACAATCCCAATTTCATGTATGTTAAGTCATATGACCTTGTGACACAGGTCACTGAGGCTCTTTTTTTTTTTTTTTTTTTTAAGCCTTATTTCTCTCTGTACTTCAGTTTGGAATGTTCCTATTGCTTTGTCTTTAAGCTCACTGATACTGATCTTCTGCAGTTTTTAGTATTCTGATAAGACCCTCCAGTGAACTTTTCAAGTATTATATTTTTCAATTCTAGAAGTTCCATTTGGTTCTGTATGTAGCTTTCATTATATTCTTATTTCCCTTTAAATCCTTAAGTATATGTTAATAGCTTTTTCTTTAATAGACTTTTTTAGAGAAGTTTTAGGTTCACAGAAAAATTGAACTTAAAGTAGAGAGAGTTCCTCTACACTCAAACCCAGATATATGCACAGCCTCCCTCAGAATCATCATCCTGCACCAGTGATACATTTGTTATAATCAGTGAACCCACAATGACAAATCATTATCACCCAAACTCCATAGTTTACATTAGGGTTCACTCCTGCTGTGCACATTCTAAGCATTTGTACAAAGGTACAATGACATGTACTCACCATTATAGTATCATAGAGAATAGTTTCACTGCTCTAAAAATCTTATGTGCTCTGCCTATTCATTCCTCCCAGCCCTCAATTCCCTGGCAACCAATGATCTTTTTACTGTCTCCATATTTTTGTCTTTTCCAGAATGTCATACATTTGGAACCATACCATATAATTGCCTTTTTAGATTGGCTTCTTTCATTTAGTAATATGCATTTAAGTTTTCTCCCCATCCATTCATGACTTGAAAATTTATTTCTTTTTTGTGCTGAATAATATTGCATTGTCCAGATATGCCATGATTTATTTATCCATTCATCTACTGAAGGAGATCTTGGTTACTTCCAAGTTTTGGCAGTTATCAATAAAACTGCTATAACCATTTGTGTGCAGGTTTTTTGAGTATATAAGTACTCAACCACATTGGGTAAATACTAAGGAGTATGATTATGGACCATATGGTAACAGTATGTTTAGTTTTGTAAGAAACTGCCAAACTGTCTTCCAAAGTGGCTGAACCATTCATTGTGCAATCCCACAAGCACTGAATGAGAGTTCTTGTTCCATATCTTTGCCAGTATTGGTGGTGTCAGTGTTTTGGATTTTCATCATTCTAGTAGGTGTGTAGTGGTATCTCATTGTTGTTTTAGTTTACAATTCCCTAATGAGATATGATGTTGAGCATCTTTTTATATGCTCATTTGCCATGTGTATATTTTTTTGGGGGGGGGAGTGTCTGTTAAGGTCTTTTGCCCATTTTTTGATCATGTTGTTTTTTATTATTGAGTTTTAAGAAATACTTGTATATTTTGGATGAGTCCTTTAACAGGTATGTCTTTTGCAAATATTTTCTCCAGTCTGTGACTTAACTTCTCATTCTCCTAACAATGTCTTTTACAGAGGAGAAGTTTATCATGCCTTTGGTGTTAAATCTCCAAAGTCATTGCCATACTCTAAGATCATTTAGATTTTCTCCTATGTTGACTTCTAGGAGTTCTGTAGTTTTGCATCTTACATTGAAGTCTATGACCTCTTTTGGGTTAATTTTTGTGAATAATATAAGGTCCGTGTCTGGATTCTTTATTTTGCATGTAAATGACCAGTTGCTTCAGTACCATTGGTTGAAAAGACTACCTTTTCTCCATTGTATTGCCTTTCCTCTTTTGCCAAAGATCAGTTGACTATAATTATGTGGATCTATTTTGGGGCTCTCTATTCTGTTCTGCTGATCTATGTGTCTATTCTTTTGCAGGTACCACACTGCCTTGACTACTATAGCCTTTATAAGTCTTGAAGTCAGGTAGTGTGGGTCCTCCAGCTTTGTTCTTCTCCTTCAATATTGTGTTGGCCATCCTGGGTATCCTAGACAAAATTCAACACCCATTTATCTTTAAAAATGTTTAGAAAACTAGAAAGAGAGGGAAATTTCCTCAAACCAACAAAAGGTATCTACAAAAAATTACACCTAACATCATATTTAATGACAAAATATTGAATACTTTTCCTTAAGTTTAGGAACAAGACAAAGATATTTGCAATCTTGGGGCAGGCAAAGATATCTTAGAGAAGACATGGAAAACATTAACTACAAAAGAAAAAACTGATAGGTACAACTTCATTAAAATTAAAAACTTCTGCTATCAAAATAAAAATATATTGGTAAGTCATTGACTTAGACTTAATAGTTGTAATGCATGTATTTTTCAAAGAGCTTGTTCCAGAATATATAAAAATAAGCTCCTACAACTTGATTTTAAAAAAGAAAGGTAATTCAATAAAATGGCAAAGGACTTGACCAAACATTACATAAAAGAAGAAATATGAGTGACCAAAAAAAGCACATGAATAAGTATTCAACATGATTAGTCTTTAGGACAACATTAAAAGGACGGCCAACATCAGCTGTTATCAAGAATGTAGAGCAACTGGTAATCTTGTACATTGCTTGTGGCAGTGTAAGATGGGACAAGTACTTTGGAAAGGTATTTTGCAATTTCTAAAAAAGTTAAACAAATGCATCTTTCCAATGACTCAAGATTCCACTTCTAGGTATTTTCCCAAGAGAAATTAAAACATATGCCCACAAAAAGACACAAAAATGACCATAGCAGCTTTATCATAAAAACCCCAAACTGGAAACAGTCCAGGTGTCCATCAACAGGTGGAATGAATATTCAAATAATTATGATATATTCATAAAATGGAGCAGTACTCAGGGAAAAAAATGAACCACTTATCACACATCAGCCTTGATGAATCTCAAAAACACTGTTGAGTGAAAGAAGCCAGACACAAAAGAATACAAGTGGCCCTGGAACAACACAGGTTTGAACTGCATGGGTCCACTTATATGTAGGATTTTTTTAAAAGAGTTAACAGCAAAAGCCACAGGTATTTATTTACAACTGTCCACCCCACTCTCCAAAGATGGTATGGAAGGCAACTGGCACAGAGGCAGCACTTGCTACATGAGTGCCCGGGGAGCATACTGAGGAAAGGTCTGCAGGTCGCCATAAGTGAGGATAGGGTGGCCAGGTGGTGCATCAAGGGCTAGCAAGCAGAAAGTTGAGCTAAAGCAGAACACACCCAGAGGGCAGTGATGGCATTGTGCAGGGAGCCCCATGTCCCCCAGAGTCCTCCACCCACTGGCCTCCGGAGTTGCTTCAGGGGAGCCAGGGGCCTTGGTCCTGTTGCAGGCCTAGTGCAGATTCTGGTGGCTGTGTCTATAATCTGTAACTAGCGCAGGCTTCAGGTCAGAATTAAACAAAAGCCTTATCTGTATTACCAGAAACCCCAGCATTATGAAATCTATTTGGGAACTGGCTGTCCTGTAGCTGGAGGGATGTTGGATTTCTTTGAGTTCCTTTATCCTCTCTCTTCTTGTGGAATCAGAGTCGAAGAGTGTCCATGGGGTACTCTCATTGAAAGTTCAATCACTTATGTGCCGGCAAATTTAAATATGTATGACTGGTTACCTCCCAATATCCTGCTATATTCAAAGAAAGTCTGTATTCACCTTTGTGCAAAAAGAGAAAAAGAATAACAGTAGTAAACGTGGGCAACAGCCCAAGGGCCAGTGGGACAGGAAAAGTCAACATCACCTCAAACGGAAAATGTGGGGACTCATCCACAAGTGTCTTTTGGGGCAGGAATCAACCTATATATTCTGGATGGTGAGGCAACCTTGCTGACCTTGGCATGGTGACTGAGGATTGCACTGCCTAGTAGAAGCTGGACTGGTGCCCATGGATATCATCTTTTACCAATTCATAAATGATATTTTTAAATGAAGAACTTGCTCCAATGTCTATATTAATGAACTCTTTAGGTAGGGGGGAAAGGAGCTTCCCTAGATTTTAAATTTGTAATAAAGGCATTTTAAAAAGAAAAAAAGAGAGAGAGAGAAGTGTACTCCTATTTGGCTGCAGCTGAAATGGCCACCTCAGGTGGTACACCTGGTATACAATTCCAGGCAGTGGTAAAGCTCTATTGTGCCTCTAGACAGCTTTTACCACCCATGGGCCCACCCAGCAGCTGCTGTTGTTGAGCTGAGGCCACCAGACTGCAGAAGTTTGTCATTCTGGGACCAGCCCTTCCCGCTGCCCCTGGCCCAGGCTAGTGTATGTACAAAACTGTAAACGTATTTTCTTTTCCTTATGATTTTCTTAATAACATTTTCTTTTCTCTAGGTTGCTTTATTGTAAGAATATAGTACATAATACATATAACCTACAAAATGTGTGTTAACTGACTGTTTATGCTCTTGGTAAGGCTTCTGATCAATAGTAGGCTGTTAGTAGATAAGTTTTGGGGGAATCAAAAGTTATACTTGGAGTTCCAACTGTGCCATCATCATCCCTAAGCCCTGCCTTGTTCAGGGATCAACTGTACTTACTATATGAGCCCACTTACATGATATACCAAAACAATTAATCTATGATGAGAAATACCAGATTAAATGCCTGTTTATGGGGGGTAAGGTTTAACTGGAAAATAGCACAAGGAAAGTCTTAGGATTTGTAATTTATTCTAGGCAATGGGAAGTTACTGAAGGTTTTTTAACAGTTAAGTGCCACCATGTTCAAAGCCATGTATAGGATACATCAGCACACCAGGATAGTAGAGTGGAAAGAGAATTGGAATGAGATAAAAAGAACTTGTTTGAATGCCTAGCTTTGTCATAGACTCTAAACTTGGAAAGTTTCTATGTGCTTCCTCTTCTTCATTCAAAAATTGAAAGGTTGAGTTAATCTCTAAAATCTTTCAAAATATTCTGTGAACATATGAGATGGGATTTGTAGCAATAAGAACAGGAAGAATGCCCTTGCAATAAAATTAAGGAAAGGTAATAAGCACCAGAACCTGGAAGGTGTCAATGGCAATGGAGAGGGGCTTTAAATATGAGAAAATAATTCAATGCAGGGGCAAGAGAGAGAAAACAGTCACAGAAGCTTATGAAGATTTTAATCTAAGGGACTACCTCTTTTTGTGGGCTCTGTAGTTTGAACTCTAGTGTTACTTGGATGTTTAATGCTAAAAGCTGTATAAATGTGTCTTGATAAGTGATAACCCAGTCTGGAGGTTACATTTAGAAATATTAACTCCATTTAATTCTTTTAATTATTTGAGCTTATCAAAATGTGATTTTTTTAAAAGATTTATTTATTTGTCAGAGAGACAGAGAGCGTGCTTGAGTACAAGCAGAGGGAGAAGCAGGCTTCCTGCTGAACAAGGAGCCCGATGTGGGACTTGATCCCAGGACCCTGGGATCATGAGCCGAAGACAGACACTTAACTGCCTGAGCCACCCGTGCATTCCCAAATGTGATTTTTAAAAATACCTTTTAAAATAGGAAGCTGACGATAAGCTGCAAGTTTAGTCTGAAATAAATTTTCCATTAGAACTCGTTCCATAAAAAATAAATCCTGACGAAACTTGTCAGATTTCATTATTGACTCTGAGTGATCTTCTTCATCATCATGGATTTTAGTCAGAATTACATTTTCTATATCCATTAAAGAACTAGCTTCACTATCTGTAAAATACAAACATGATGCAATGATAAAATAATTTAAATATTATTAGATGATTCATGTATTCTAAGTATTATAAAAATCACATTTTGGCAGTACTATTTGTTCTCTTCCAATATTCAACAACTTCAATAGACACTTATTGAATATCTTTTATGTACCAAGCACATGGAAGATTTACATATATTATCTCATTTTGGAATTCTTAACCACTCAAAAATGTACTGTTTATCAGAAGGTAAGCAATGATAACCTCATTATCAAGCAATGATATAGGTAATTTATATCTCTGTACATTGTTATTCAAATTGAAATAAGATTATTAGTCTTCAGATAGAGGTCTGATCTGATTATTGTTTTTAGCATTGCTACACCACTGTGTTAATTTTTTTTTTTTTTTTTTTTTTTTTTTTATTCATGAGAGACAGAGACAGAGAGAGAGGCAGAGGGAGAAGCAGGCTCCCAAGGAGCAGAGAGCCCGATGCAGGACTCGATCCCAGGACCCTGGGATCATGACCTGAGCTGAAGGCACACGCTTAACCATCTGAGCCACCCAGGCGCCCTGTGTTAATTTTTTTTTTAATGCTAAAATAAGCTACCAAAAACTTAAGTGGATTAAAACCATGCACATTTATTATTTTGGAGTTTAGTAGGTTAGAGGTCTGACCCAGGTCTCACTGGGCTAAAACCAAAAAGTTAATTAGGATTATGTTCCTTTCTGGAGGCTCTAGAGAATTCATTTCCTTATTTTTTTCAACTTCTGGGGGCCACCTACACCCTTCTTGAAAGGCAACATCATTACATCTCTCCAACCTTCTTCTGTTATTACATCTCTCTATGAACACAGCTCAGAAAGGTCTCTACTTTTAAGTACCCGTATGTTTAGATTGGGTTCTCCCATTCTACTAACAGAAACTACAACAAAGGGTCTTGGCCACATTTTCCCCTCATTCTTTCTGCCTCTCGACCAACCCTGGTGCTTCTCTGTGTAGCCACAGCATACAATGTCCCCTCCTCTTGAGATCTGTGAGTATAACAAGCTATCTTTTCAATGGCAGTAGTGTCCTAATCTGTTGGCCTTGCCATATGCCTAAATAATAATAAAATACACATTTAAAAAATATCATCTACAAGAAACCCAATTTAAATGTAAAGACACAGATAGATTAAAGGTAAAGAGAGCAATATATACTGTTAACACTAATCAAAAGAAGATGGAGTTACTATATTTAATTTCAGACAAAGTAGACTTCAGAGCAAGAAAAATTAACAGAAATAAAAAGGAGAACTGCATAATAATAAAGAAGTCAATTCTCAAGGAAGACATAGCAATCCTAATCATTTATACAGTGGAAAACAAGACTACAAAATATTTAAGGCAAAAACTGATAGAACTACAAGGAGAATCAGACACATCCACTGTTATAATTGGAGACTAACGCTATTTTTTTTATTTTATTTTTTAAGACTTTATTTATTTAAGAGAGAGAGAGTATGAGCAGGGGGAAGGGCAGAGGGAGAAGCAAGACTCCCTGCTGAGCAGGGACCACCCCACCCCCCCACCCCACCCCCGCCCAATGTGGGACTTGATCCCAGGACTCCGAGATCATGACCCAAGCTGAAGGCAAACGCTCAACTGACTGAGCCACCCAGGCATCCCAAACACTATTTTAATAGAATACATATTTTTCTCAAGCTCACTTGGAATGCTCGCCAAGCTAGACCACATTCTGGGCCACAAAGCACATTTCAACATATTTAAAAGAATAGAAATCATACAAAATATGCTCTCAGACCACAATGGAATTAAACTAGAATTCAACAAAAAGATAGCTGGATAATCCCAAAATATTTGGAAATTAAAAAAAAAATAGGTCATTGTTTGTTATATGCAAACAATGAATCATGGAACACTACATCAAAAACTAATGATGTAATGTATGGTGATTAACATAACATAATAATAAAAAAATTAAAATAAAATAAAATATAGAATATCATTCCGCTTTTTAAAAAAATAGGTCAAAGAAGAAGTCTCAAATGAAATTTTAAAAATATTTAAACTAAATTAAAATAAAAATATAACTTATCAAAATGTGTGAGATGCAGCAAAAAGAATGCTTAGGGGGAAATTTACAGCATTGAATGCATATATTAGAAATGAAGAACGATCTAAAAGTTAGTAATCTAAGCTTCCATCTCAGGGCACTAGAGTAAGAAGAGCAACATAAGCCTAAAGCTAGCAGGAAACAAATATATATATATAAATTAAAGCATAAATCAGTGAAATTAAAAACAGGAAATCATCAGAAACAATGAAATTAAAAGTTGTTTCTTTGAAAAGATCAATAAAGTTCATAATCATCAGCCATGTTAACCAAGAAAAAAAAATAGAACATATAAATTGCCAGTATGATCAATAATAGAGGTGTCATCACTACTGACCCCATAGACCAAAGGAATAACAAGGAAAAACTGTGCATAGCTCTATGTCCACAGATTTGATTACTTAGGTGAAATGGAACAATTCCTTGAAAGACATAAACTGCCAAAACTCACACAAAGTGAAATAGATCATCTGAATAGGCCTATCTCTATTAAAGAAATTGAATCAATAATTAGTAAATTTCCAAAATCGAAAATAGGCCCAGATGGTTTTACTGGTGAATTATATCAAACATTTAAGACATGTTTATACAATCTATTTCAAAAAATAAGTAGGGGGAACACTTCCCAATTCATTTTGTTAGGCTGGCATTATTCTAACACCCAAACGAGATGAAGACATTACAAAAAAGGAGAATTACAGAACAATATTGCTTATGAAAACAACACAAAAATCCTCAACAAAATGCTAGCAAATCAAATCTAAGAGTGTATAAGAAGAATTATATACTCCAACGAAGTAGGGTTGGTTCCAGGTATGCGAAGTTAGTACAACACATGAAATCAATTAATGTAACCCATCCCATCAATAGGCTAAAGAAGGAAAATCACATTAGATTCAGAAAACTCTTTAGACAAAATCTAACACCCATTATGATAAAAATTCCCAGGAAACTGGAGCACCTGGGTGACTCAGTTGATTAGGCATCTGATTCCATTTAGGCTCTGGTCGTGATCTCGGGGTCATTATCTCAAGGTCCCCAGATTGAGCCCCGAGTCAGGCTCTGTGCTCAATAGGGTGTCTGCCTCTCTCCCTCTCCCTCTGCCTCTCCCCCTACTCACATGCATGCTCTCCCTCTCTCTCTCTCTCTCTAAAATAAATAAATCAAGTTTAAAAAAAAAAAAACTCCCACGAAACTAAGAATAGAAGTGAATTTCCTCAACTTGATTTTTTAAAAATCTATGAAAAACCTACAATGAACATATTTAATGGTGAAAACCTGAAAATTTCCCCACCAAGGTAAGGAACAAGGTTAGGATGTCCCCTCTCACCACCTTTATTCAACATCATACTAGATGTCCTAGCTAATATAATAATTCAAAGAAAAGAAATAAAAGTTATACAAATTGGAAGGAAAAAAACTGTAGATGACATAGTTGTTTATGTAGAAAATCCCAAAAAGGGCGCCTGGGTGGCTCAGTTGGTTAAGCGACTGCCTTCGGCTCAGGTCATGATCCTGGAGTCCCTGGATCGAGTCCCGCATCGGGCTCCCTGCTCGGCGGGGAGTCTGCTTCTCCCTCTGACCCTCCTCCCTCTCATGCTTTCTGTCTCCCACTCTCTCTCTCTCTAATAAATAAATAAAGTCTTTAAAAAAAAAAAAAAAAGAAAATCCCCCCAAAAAACTGCCAAAAAAATAAAATTCTCCACCTAATAAGCAATTATAGCAAGGTCACAATATACAAGATTAATATACAAAAGTCAATGGCTTTCCTCTAATGAATAATTAGAAATTGAAATAAAAATCATACTACTATTCATATTAGCACTAAAAGTTAAATGCCTAAGGTATAAATCTAACAAAACATGTACAAGATCTACATAAGGAAACTACAATACTCTTATGAAAGAAATCAAAGAAGACCCAAACAAATTTTCATGGATAGGAAGTCTCCATATTGTTAAGAAGCTAATGCTTTCCAATTTGATCTATAGATTCAATGCAATCCCAGTCAAAATCCCACCAAGTTATTTTATGGATGTTGACAGACTGATTCCCAAGTTTATATGGAGAGTCAAAAGACCAAGAATAGCTGACACAATACTGAAGAAGAACAAAAGATTGACACTACCCAATTTTAAGAATTACTATAAAGGTCCAGTTAACAATGTGATATTGGTGAAAGAATGGACAAATTGATCAGTGGAACAAAATAGAAAGCTCAGAAATAAACCCACACAAATACAGTCAACTGATATTTGACAAAGGAGCAAGAAAATTCAAGGAAGTCTTTTCAACAAATGAACTGGACATCCATATGTCAAAAAATATGTAGACATAGAATTTATGACTTTCACAAAAATTAACTGAAATGAACCTTAGACCTAACTATAAAATGCAAAACTATAAATTTTTGTAAGACAACATAGTAGAAAATCTAGGTGGCCTTGGTTTGGTGATAAATTTTTGGATACAATACCAAAAACACAATCTGAAAGAGAAAAAAATGTTAAATTGGACTTTATTAAAATTAAAAATTTCTAGTTTGTGAAGGATTGTTAAGAAAATGAAAAGACAAGTCCCAAACTGGGAGAAAATTTTGCAAAATATTTATCTGAAAAAGGACTTACTTTATAATTCAAAAAACTCAACAATAAGAAAATAAACAGCCCAATTTTAAACATGACAAAAAATTCAAATAGATACTTCAGCAAAGAAGATCCACATATGCCAGTAAATATATGAAAAAGTGTTCAACATCACATGTCATTAAGGATTTGCAAATTAAAACAATAATGAGATACCACTACACACCTGTTAGAACAGCTTAAAAACTTTTTTGAAGTAAAAATATCAAATGCTGACAAGAATGAGGAGCAACAGGAACACTCACTCATTGCTGATGGTAATACAAAATTGTACAACCACTTTGGAAGACAGTTTCATAGTTTCTTAAGAGTCTAAGCATATTCTTACTATATGATCCAGCAACTGTACTCCTAGGTATTAACCCAAATGAGGTGAAAAGTTATGTCCACACAAAAACCTACACATGAATGCTTATAGCAGCTTTGTTCATAGTCACAAAAAACCAGAAGCAATCAAGAAATCCTTCAATAAATAAATAAATCATGGTACATCCATATAATCTAATATTATCTAGTGATAAAAATAAATGAGAAGACATACAGGAACCTTAAATGCATATTGTTCAGTGAAAGAAGCTAGTCTGAAAAAGGCCACCTATTGTCTGATTCCAACTATATAACATTTTGGAAAAGGCAAAACTATAGACATAATAAAAAGATCAGCAATGGTGAGAAGTATGGAGTAGGGAGGAATGATGAGTAGGTGGAGCACAGGGGATATTTAGGTCAGTGAGACAATTCTGAATGAAACTGTAATGATAGAAACATGTCATTATGTATTTGCCAAAACTCATAGAACTGTATGTACAACCTAAGGAGTGAAACTTGATGTAAATTAAGGATTTCAGTTAATAATAATGTTATCGATATTGATTCATCAATTATAAAAAATGTACCACACTAATGCCAGATGTTAGGAATAGGGGAAGCTATGGTGTGGGGGGAGGAAGGAAGGAAGGAAGAAATTATAAGGATCTCTCAGTACTGTCGGCTCAATTTTTCTGTAAATCTAAATTTGTGTTTGAAATGTCCATTACTTTTTTTAAATCTAAAGCTCTCTTTCTATTAAAAAAAAAAAAAAAGCCCATGAGAGAAAATAATTTTTCCCTGTGAACTCAGCTAGGGTCTCACACATATTCAAAGATGAAAATCATGGTACTTTTTTCCCCCTCAAATATAATAGAAGGTTAAAATACAACCTGTACATTCAAAGTTTAAATGGAGTAGAAACACTTCTTAAACCAATTATGGACCAGGAGCAGTGCCCCCGTGAAGAGAGGAGAGAATAAAGTCCTTGTGAACTTTGAAAAAAAACCAAAACAAATATGGACCATATTTAACTTTTTTCTCTTTGTGTTTGCATTATAAAATCTCAGAGGCAAAAGGGACCCTGGAGGTGATCTAGTCCTAGTTTTTATCTGAATCTCCCTTACATTCTCCATAAATCTGATCGCTCAGCTCTGTTGTCAATCTTTGTCTATTTTTTATTTTCTCCCTTTTCCTAGTTCTGGTCTCCCCTACCCCCTTAACTGGCTATAATACTTTAAAAAAGTATATTTTTATTTTGAATTATAGTTCTTGAATATGGTTTTATTATCCATTTTTGCTTTTAAAAACACACCCATATACACAAGAAATAAAAAATCCACAAATTGAGACATTTTTCTTTTAGGACCTTCCACTTAACACTTTTTTTTTTATTTAATAAAGTTTTATTTTCCAAAATGTACAGTTGGTGGGATCTTGTTCATGCATCTTCACCAGCAGCTGGGGCATCTCCACCCTTGGTGTTTCTGCTGTAAATTACTTGAGCTCTGTGCTTAACACTTTTTCTGTGTGTCAATGGCCTTAATAGAGGTGTAGTACGTATATCTAATTTTCAAGTCCCAATGTAATTTTCAGTCTAAGATTGATGTTTTTCCTAGCAATTTTTGGTAGGAAAAATTTAAGCTTCTAAAAGCAAAACTACTGGGGCGCCTGGGTGGCTCAGTTGGTTAAGCGACTGCCTTCAGCTCAGGTCATGATCCCAGGGTCCTGGGATCGAGTCCCGCATCGGGCTCCCTGCTCTGCGGGGAGCCTGCTTCTCCCTCTCCCACTCCCCCTGCTTGTGTTTCCTCTCTCGCTGTGTCTCTCTCTGTCAAGTAAATAAATAAAATCTTAAAAAATAAATAAATAAATAAATAAAAGCAAAACTACTATATGGACATTAACATTTAAGCAAAAAAAAAAAGTTTCTTTAATAATAACTAATAATTCATTCTTTCCCTTCATTGTTCTCTGGGAAAATAAACTGGTGTTCATTATAAACAACTTTAAGGAAAGCATGGCTATAGTGTACATGACTGTAAATATAATTTTTAAAAACTAAAGAATATAGGTAACATATTTAAAGTTTCATTTTTTTGAAATATTAAACTTAAGATCCAATGATAGACCAAAATATTAGGTGGCAAGTCCTGTTGATCCAGAGTCTCTGAAGGAAATGTAGTCAGTTATAAATAAGGTAATTATTTTCTAAAAACTATCAATTCTCTTTAAACTTGATTTTTCAAAAATATTTCCTGATTTACTATTTTTAAATATTACATTTGGGTAAAAATGGGTGAGAATAGAAATATTTCAATTTAATTTATGAAAATTTGCCAAACTTTACCAAATCTTGCCAGGGCATAGTTATTCTGAAATAAGGACTACCCCTCATATGTAGTGATATCATTTTATAAGAAAAATGACCCAGAAGTTCAGAATAGGGAGAGTAAAACTGTATAACTATATAACCACAAAACAATCAGAAATGGAACTTAAATTTCTTATAACTGGACTTTTTAAAAATTCTTCCATATTACTAAGTATATTTGGAAAGCTAAAATTTTGTGTTGACTTTAATTAAAGCATTTAATCTCAAAACTTAGAATACTAAAAGATAAAGCTGTAAAGCAGCATTTCTCAACCTTGGTAGTATTACATTTTGGCCAGGTAATTTCTTGTTGTGGGGCTGTTCTGTGTACCAAAGGCTTTTTAGTAGTATCCTTGGCATTGACCCAAAAGATGTCCTCATAGTCATGAGAACCAAAAATGTCTCCAGATATTGCCAAATCTCCCCGGGGGGAGGTAAAATCATCCCTAACTAAAAGCCATGGTTGTTAATTTATCTCCATTTTAAGTTGTCACAAAGTTAGTATACATTCTTTTTCTTAGAAAGTCTACAGAAAGAAAAAGAGAGAGAAAATTATGGAACCCCCATGTTCCCATATATACGAAAGAGAACTTAAGAGCAAGTAAAGAAGCAACAAAGGAAGATAGAATCTTTGAAACTCTTGACAGGTATCCAAGGAAAATTCTGGTGTAAATTACTTTTAGTTCAGAGTCCAAGATGATGTGAAAGAGTAACAATGCTATTTCTGAGTAAAAGTTGTAGTTTTATGTTCCACCAGAAAGTAAGTATTGTAACTGCTAAGAAAGAATTTATTTATCATGGCATGTGAAAACATCATTTTAAAAAAACTGAAAGAGTGCTTGCTTAGGCAGCAATATGGTAATACTGGAATGGTACAGAAAAGATTAGCACAGCTCCTGTGCAAGGATGACATGCAAATTCGTGAAACATTCCATTTAAAAAGAAAACTGAAATAAATGAAATCTTACTTTTGTCTATAGTACTCCCTGGTACTCTTTGTTCTCGATCTTTAGAAGGTACAATTGCTTTACTGCTTGATTCAAGCATAGATTGTTTTGCTGGTAAAGATGAAAGCTCAATAGCATTATAAGAATCATACAAATCCCAAGTACTGGACATTACACCTAAATAAAGAGACAGAAAGGTAAAAATTATTTTGAATCAAATTCTAATAGTTTAGCTTATACATAACTAGTTATAGCAAAATCTAAGATAAGAACATCTGCTTAAGAAAAGAATACTATTTTTTTTACAATGGCAAGAAGTAAAGATGAAAAAGAAATAAATCATGAGGACAGGTTGAGATCCTTAGCTATCACACTTTTTGCATCTACATATACATTAGTGTTTTAATGATAACTCCAAATTATCTCACCATCCTTTCTGATCCCCACACCTGTCTTCCCTCTATCCCAAGCTGATGGTGCATAATCTCATCCGTCTGTCAGTATAGGTCTTGCTTGATATGGACCTGGACAACCATGTCACAATAAGGATTTAATGTTCTTTTACTTATGGCTAACATGTTTATATTCTATAGAACTTTTAATTTATAATCATCTCATTCCATTTTTATCACAAAAAATCTCCTATATATTTATGTGAAAAGATTATACTTGTTGGGAAATTGGTAGACTCTGTTCTCAAGAAACTTGTAGAGTAATATGGTTATTATCTTCCCTTTTAAAAATTTTTGTTTACATTGGCTATGATTTTTTTCTAATGAGCAAATATAGCAATGGTCTCCAAACAAAAATTGGGAATGTTATTTATCTCGAAATTAAAAAAAAGTTCCAACCCTTTTCATTGATATAACAGTGAAAGGTTCATGTAGCGATTATTTTATCAGTAACCATGTAATAAAATATTCCTATGTGCTAAACTTGCAAAAGTTTAAAGTACAGTGATTTAATAATTCTTTTCTCTGAAAATCAAAACAAGATCTAGATATAATAAATGCAACTACTTCATTATTGTAACTTTTATTTTCATTAAATAAAATGAAGGAGCTCTGGATTTCACAATGTTTTCAGTTAGTAAGAATGTTAACTCACATTTCATAATAACATTTCTACTTTATTGAACTTATCTTAATAATCTAACAAAGTTATACACAGAATAAATACCTCATCTATTTTGCTGATTTGAAAAGGGTACAATTTCCATGTTCATAAAGTAAAAGACCATAAAAAGAAATTATGTCTTTGAATATTGAATTACCTAACCTTCTTTTTCTTCCTTTAACTGAAAGTTTAGTAATTTGAGTATATAGGAATATATTGTTACATCATCAGCAACAACTGCTACATAAATAAAGGTACATATTATAAATGAACAATATAAAATGTTAGGGTGATTTAAAGTTGTTTCTTGTTTGAAGATAAATAATATTGGTAATTTTTTTTAAAGATTTTATTTATTTATTTGACAGAGAGAGACACAGCGAGAGAGGGAACACAAGCAGGGGGAGTGGGAGAGGGAGAAGCAGGCTTCCTGAGGAGTGGGGAGCCTGATACGGGGCTCGATCCCGGGACCCTGAGATCATGACGTGAGCGGAAGGCAGACACTTAATGACTGAGCCACCCAGGTGCCCCAACATTGGTAATTTTAGTTTGGGTACCATCATGACATTTATACATTTGAATAAATTAACCTAAGAAATAAAAAATCTCAAATCATATGCCATAATACCATGTACAAAATGAAACAATAAATAATAGTGATTGTTTTTTGTTCCTTTTTGGGGGGGGTGGAGTTTTTAAAAGTTTTTATTTAAATTCCAGTTAGTTAACATACAGTGTAATATTAGCTTCAAGTGTACAATAATTCAACACTTCCATACAACACCTGGTGCTCATCACAAAAAGTGCATTCCTTAATCCCCATCACCTATTTAACCCATTCTCCCACACACCTCCCCTCTGATAATCATCAGTTTATTCTCCATAGTTGAGTCTGTTTCTTGAAAAAAAAAATTGAATGATTGTGACTTTCCAATTTTATACTGCTATATTCTACTAAAGAAAGTTTTTGGGTTTTTTTTTTTAAGATTTTATTTATTTGACACAGAGAGACAGCCAGAGAGAGAACACAAGCAGGGAGAGTGGGAGAGGGAGAAGCAGGCTTCCGGCAGAGCAGGGAGCCGGACAAGGGGCTCAATCCCAGGACCACAGGATCATGACCTGAGCCAAAGGCAGACACTTAACCATCTGAGCCACCGAGGCACCCCACCTACTAAAGAAAGTTTTAACTAGTATCAGAAAAAAGTATTCCCAACTATACCTGTGTTTTGAGCACTTCTGAGTCTACAATATATCTAAATAGTTTTTACACATTTTAAAATATTGTTTCTATCTAGTAGTTTAATTCAGACTATAAAAAGAGAACAATTAGCCATATAACATTTATAGAAAAATAATTTTACTTTTTAGCTGAGTAAAAAGATATGCTCACTATTAGAAGAAAAAAGATAAATATGACTTGTATTTCCATCACCCAGAGATAATAACTGCTAACATTTTGGTGTACGTTCTTCCAGAGTCACATACAAACACGTGTATTTTTTTTAATAAAAATGAGCTCATATCACATGTTTTTATAAAAAATATTTTATTATAGCATAATATATATAGAAAACAAGCTGGCTTTATGAAGTCTACAGTTGTAGTATATACCTATATTTTTAAAAGTTAGCCAGGAATACTAGTACATTTATTGAATTATCCATTTATTTGAAATGCCACTTTTATCATAAGTTACTATATGTATACTGTCAGATGGAAAATTTTTTCATCACTTTCTATGAATCTTTACAGGGAACTTCAACTAAATTAACACCTTGGCCTCTCTATGTCCCTCATTCACTCATTACCAGAGAAAAAGTAACTAATCCTATAGGAGAGTTTAGGAGAAGGAATTGCACTCAGCCACTTTTGGATTCTTTTGTTAGGTCTGTTCAATGGCAGAAAGCATGCTTTCTGTTCTGTTCTCACTCCTAAAAAAAGGAGGTCTGTGCTTGTCTAGCTGTGCCAGTTACGGCTGGTAAGGTCTATTCTGGAAGGAAGAAACGGCAAGTCCTCTGAGCTGCAGATTTGAAGCTATATTTTTTTAAATTATCTTTATCAGTAATAAAGATAATATGTGATTTCCATGTCTCTGACTCCTGAATCTCTTTCAATTTCATCCCAAATCAGGCAAAGAAGACATGTGCTTTTTTTTACTGATCCGTAAGACTTTATTTTTTTAATAAAGGGTTTACTGCTATTACATTACAAAGAATGACAAAATTGTATTATCTGTATTTCTAGATTTAATGGCCACCCTGTAGAAAGCATCTTTGGAATAGAAAAAGAGTTTTAAGAATTTGTTTTCCCATAATCATAAAGCTGCCATACTCAGTCTGGGCACAGCTGGTGCAACATTTTCCTCAATCCACAGGCTCCATTCCCTTTACCAACTATTTATAATATGCTTGGATCACTTACAGGAGAAAAACACTGTCAGCATCAATATTTAGCAGCATTTCATTTTTTTCTTTTGTGCTGAATAAAAAACTAAACTATTCTTTTAGTGCAGTAATTTCATATGGTCTTATTACTTCTATACACAAGATATGATCCTTTAATATTTAATTGGTTAGTATTGAAATTTTTAATATAAACTTTCATTATTTTAAATAAAAGTTTTCTGTGAAATACATATCATTCAAAGAAGAGTGTATAACAAATATATGTGTAGTATAAAGAATTACTACCATGTACTCACCAGCGAGGATAAGAAATAGAATATCTCCAGGTGCTTAGAAGCCCTGGACACTCTTCTCTCTAGCTGTCTTCCTTCTAGCTACCTCCAACAGGAGCACATCCACTTTCCCTAACTTTTGGATAGGTCATTCTCTTGCTCTGTTTTAAGGTTTTTCCCCTATGGTAGATGCTGTTGGTGCCCTGCCCATATCTGCTATGCATTACCTCTTGCTCGCCAACCGCCAACTGCCAGCATCTATACTGCTTTGCTTAGGGCCATCTTTGACCACCAAGGCCATTTTGATGTCCACAAATTTGGCTAGAAGTGCCAACGAACTAATAAGCCCATCAACTTCAAACAATGATTGAGAAAGTTGGAGCATGATAAAATAACTCTGACTCCCAAAATTCTCTAGCAGTATTGAATTCCAGTTACCCAAGAGGTAATTTGTTAGAGAGCATAACCTTTGCTGGCTGCCTACCCTTTCTCGTTTCACTTACTTACTCCCCTACCAATGTTTCTTAGGATTACTTCCAAAATAAACTATGTGCACTCAGAACCTTTTTTAAGAGGTTTCTTCTTGGAAAACTTGTGAAGTTCAGAATCCACAGGCATGGAAGGCTCTCTGATATATGCATAGCTACACAATATATTGTCTAGTTTTAAAAAACTGGATAGCAAACACTATCACAGATGCATTAAAAAAGAACAAAATACCACTATTAGATGAGGACTCTCAGGAGAAGATCATCAGAACAGTCTGGGTCATAGTCTGACTTCAGCTTCCCTGAGAGTTTATAAGAGCCAGTAATGAAGAAATCACATGGCGAGACCATGAATATGTCCTTGGAAACACAGAACTTAATCCACTGAAAGTATCGTCAGGTAAGTGGACTGCTCTGTATTTTCTGTTCACCATGGCTTCTTTGCCGCTCTCAGGGTAAAATAGAACATGTCTGTGCAGTGAAGTGAGTTTCCTCAACTTATCTAAGAAGGCCACTGGAAAGGAGAGCAGAACTACATTAACAATGATAAAGGCAAGCTAGATATGAAAAAGAATTGGCAGATTCAGCTGAGCATCCTGTACTCAAGAAGATGGGACTTGGTTTTCAGTTTCATAGAACGGAATTTGGAGGTTCCCATTCTGTCCTAAGAACAAGTGAAAAATTAAACAGTCTGAAAATCAACACGTTTTCTTTGGATCTGAAAGAGAGGTAAGAACATAGGGCAAACCACTGCCCCCAAAACTGGGGTGATGGACATGTTAATACAGGGAGTCATGGCTTATTGGAGCAGACTTAGGAGTGGAAACCACGGTGGGAACCAGTGCCACCGTAGGAAACCTAAACTATAATTGATGAATTGCTGGAGGCTCACTGTC